AAAATTTTAATTCACAAATAGCAACAACTTTGACATCAAACTTATCAAGTAGATAACGTAGGATTTTATTGACTTTTTCAAAAGTTTGAAAATTCTTTACCTATTTTTTTTTTTTTTGAAGAAATGCAATTGCATTAAAAAGAAGAAACAATGTATACAATCTAGAAAGCAAAAGCAAATACTTTAAAACTACAATAATGGATATGTGATTCACTAAGTTCCATTTTAGATTCATCGGGGTATGGGGATAGCAAATATTAAAACAACCTAAAAGGTTGGTTAGTATCCCAGCTTTCCCAAAAGATAAAAAATAAAACCTAGTAAAAATCCCATATTTCATCGTAATGGTTTTAAAAAGGTCCAAGAAACCTAACATCAAAACAAGCAAAAGATTACAAGTTTCAAAAAAAATAAAAACAACTAATAAACCGGCTATCCAATCATCAAACAAAAACTCATCAATCTTAGGGTCCAACAAGCTCCAATCAAGAGTAGAATTTTCTGATGTTGCATCAACACAACCAACAACATCTACTAAGAACGAACCAATCATCAACGACAAAGTAAAAACATCAATTGTCTCCTCAATAGTCCAAGAAACAGCCTCTTCACAAGCAGAGTCATATAGATTGAAAATCACCACCATATCCATCATACCGGCAAGAACAATTCAAGAAATATTCAAATGTAAAGCCATAACACCTACAACCACCTCAAGAAGCCAATATTTGACCTCATCACTGCCAAAGTCAACTGAACTAATAATCATCACCATTCTCTTCATATTATCAAGAGAAACCCAAAAAAATTCAAATCCTTCAAATCTTTAACCAATAAGACTTGATCTTCAAAGAGCAACTGAAAAATAAGTGACCAAACAGCCAAATCTTCATAAAAAACCTTTACCAACAACTTCCTCAATGTAAACAATCCACGGGCAGACCAATTTGATGATCCAACCAAAGTTGAAAAAGAAAAAAACAACATCTCCAAATTGAATAGACCAAATTATGGAATCAATAAATTCTAGCACTCTCGAATTCCAGTAAACGAACATAATTTGAATAAACCTAATATACATGTCTAAGATCATCTCATAAGATTTAATGTAAAATAGTTCATAATCATGCATTAAAGTATTTAACCTGGATTACTTGATTTCACTAGTGCATTTATATATAGTGTGTAATTTATCCCAAATTTTCTTGCCAGTAGTGCAGGTGGATACAAACATACAATCTTCATAATTTAAAGTATATAAAAAAAAAATAGTTTAACGATTTAGCATTCAATTGAGCATTGATTTGTTCTTCCTTACTCCATTTATTAAAATGAATATCAATTTAAATTCCATTTATAACACGTAATGGTAAAGAATAACCAGTTAAAATCAATTGTCAAATTCGATAATCAATTGATTGTAAGAAAGTTGAAATGCAAATTTTCCAAAAATTAGAAGTAATATTTTAGAATAAAGATGGTCGTGTGATTGAATAACATTTGGCAACATTACGATTACAAAATTTAGCCATTGACCAAAATTCAAAAAGTTTTCAAACTTAAATTTATGAATTTCATTCTGATTCCACTTGAAAGTTCGTCAAGGATGTTAAGCCCTTATGAACTAGTCCCAAGGCTAACCAAGGGGGTGAATTGGTATTTAAAAATTTCTTAAAGAAAAAACATAAAAATAACAAAACCAAGATTCACCATAAGAGAAATGAAGTGCGGAAAAATAATCAGAAAGAACATATCAGACTTATAGTGGTTCGGTCAAACCTGAACTACATCCACTCCCCGGAGGCACCCTCCGAGTTTTGCACTAAACCTTTAATATGTCTCCTTTAGCCCCCACAGCTAAGTGGAGAAGCCCTTACAAAATCACTTCCACCTTCCCTGATGCGGAAATGTAGCCGGGCCCTTTAACACCAAAAGAGATCTTCTTCTTCCAAAAACTTCCCTCAAGACGAACCTTGAATCTGATGGTACTAAGGTGAAAGCTTTTTGGAGAAACCATGTGGAATCCTCTCCACACTCCTTTGAAATCTCCTCCAAGGATCTTCTACCTCTCTCAAACTCCACCCTTTCTTCTCTCCCTTCAAAGTTCTCACTTTAAGTTTTCTCCAAAAGAATGAAGCTTCAATGGCTGCCAAAGACACCGACTTGTATAAATAAGAGGTCTTAATTAAAAGAGTTACAATTTTGTTTTTAATTGCAACAAAATGATAATATCATCAAGGACAATATTCAAATCATTGAGCATCGTTTAGAACATCACCCTGATTTAATGTCTAGATGACGGAAAAGTAAACTGATTATCCTGGATGATCTCATGATCGTCCGAGCTGATTAGTACAGAAAGGCACACATCATCCAGAGCATCACCCTAAATGGAGCTAAGCTGATTATTGAACTTCCTGAGAGAATTAAGCTTTGTGAACTGATCGTCCTAGATGATCCTACGATATTCCAGGTCAATATAATCAAGTAATTAAACCTTAAATACTTTCCTTAATTACCAGGTTAATTTAGGCATAATTACACTTCATCGTTTAGGATGATGTCCAAAAATAATACATGCCTAAAGAGATCTGGAGGCTGATTCTTTCTTAATTGAGCCTATCATCCCATACGATGATACTATCATTTATGATGATTCTCTTAATTATAACTGCCACAACCAGGATGCCCTAATTATGAATTTTTTTTAACTGATCATCTAGGATGATTTTTGGATCATCCCGGCCAATGTGATCGAAAATAGAAAACTCTTTACCAGTCAAAAACTTTCTCCCAAGTGTGTATATGCAAGGTTACAAAGCAAGTATACACCCTTACAGGACATAACTAAAAAAAATATCAATGAATATTACAAATAAAACTTCTTCTACCAATTCTTGAGCATTGAATGGTGCACTGTAATCCTAAAAAGTTAGTATAGACACAAACAAAAATATATTGCAAATATAAGTAGACTATAGAAAGTGAGCCATAATATGCGTTATCATCAAAACATAAACTCATAAGCTCAAGTTGCAACAAATACCCCCCTTTTTTATGATGGAAAAAATACCCCCCTTTTTTATGATGGCAAATATTTATGTTTGAATTTACAAAATTAAAAATATTTTCTCCTAATCTCCCCCTCACGAGAATAAAAATTAAAAATTAGGGAAAATAAAATTTTTGTTGTTCATATTTTTTTTTTAAATAAAAGGTCATAAAAAAGATAAAAATATAACAGTACATTCCCCCCCCCCTTTAAAATTATCAAAAAGAGGAGGGGCACAAACAATCAATACAATAAAAAAATAATTTAAAAAAATGATCCTTCTTCTAGTGAAAAAATTAAATATTCTTAAAATGAGAAAGTTGGCTCTTGATTTTATTCAAAAACTTAGTAAGAAATGTATTGACAATGCATAACCCAGAAATATTAGAAATTCAGAAATTGTTAATCCTTTTAAATGCTAAAAAATATTTTAATCTAATATCTAAATCAAGGAACAAATTAGAAAAAGAAACACTAATTTTTTTTTCAAAACTCATTTTATAATACATATCTAATAGAAGATTAATGCAAAAATTGGTGAATCAAGAATAATGATTTTCAAGCTTCAGTATCCAAAAAATCAAGGGTTTTCTTAAGATTTAAAAAGTACAAGAAAGGTAAGCTTACCTTTTATGAGCTCATTTTATGCCTCTTGTGAGTTGTTTGGTGTACTTTACATTTTTTTAATTTTTGATACACTTGATGTATCTTTCTCAATTTGACGTCATTTCACATTTTTTTATTTGGAGTCATTGGCCACTTTTTTTTCAATCAAATATCCTACCTTTCTAAAGTTTTAATAACTAAAAAAACCTATTCTATTGATAAATTGAACTACTTGATTAAGTAAATTATAAGGTGGATTAAACAACTTGCAAAATATCCCTATACGAAAGACAAAATGTAAGGAGATGAAAAAAGTTCAATTTCAAAATTTAATTTATAATATGATGAAGATTTTGAATCAAAAGTACAATAACTTTTTTAATAAAAGGGATAGAAAGACAAAAATATGAGTTTTCTTTCTTTGATTGTTTTTAGAGAAGTTAGTCACAACTTACATAAGAATTCAAGAAAAAATAGGAGGTAGGTTTTTCTTTTTTTTTTAAAAAAAAGAAATGTGACATGTGTGTGTTAGGGGGGTAAGTGAGCCGAGCCGGCTCGCGAGCCGGCTCGCAAAGTGTGAAATTTTGCTTATTAGTCGAATTCAAGGGTGTAAGTGAGCCGAGCCGCTCGAGCTCGACTCATTTATGGGCTCGCGAGCTGAGCTTATTGAGCTCACGAGTCGAGTTCGAGCTTGATGAGGCTCGGCTCGTGAGCTTGCGAGCCAGCTCGAATAAAATTTAAATTTTTTAATTAAATAATTCATATTATTTATTACATGTAAATCATAAAAAATGATAAACTATTTAAATCTTAAAAAAAGATAATGCTCAGTTTTTAAGAAAAAAAGCTGCATATACGGTTGTAACAGTTCCCAAAACAAACCATTAAATATTTTATTATATTTCCAATACTCTTGCTGTCAAAAAACAGAATAGGTCTTTCTTTTATCTATAGGAAAAAGCAAGGTGGACTATTGGGAGCTGTGAGTCGAGCGCCCCTAGGTATTTTGTTGTCAGCCTGTAACTATGTACGAGCTATTAAAAAAAAAATGAATGTCTTATCGTGTGGCTGGCTTGCTTACCGAAAAATGAGCGGGGATACTAAACGGCTTGGGCGGGAATTCAAAATTTAGCGGCTCGACGAGCAGCTCGATGAGCTCGTTTATGTTACCCGAGTCGAGTTCGAGCTCGACTTTTAAGCTCGACTCGAGCTCGAGCTCGAGTTTGAGCTCGGTGTTTGACTCGCGAGTCGAGCTCGAACACCTCTTGACTTGAGCTCGACTCGACTCGTTTGCACCCCTAGCAGGGACAGCACATGGGCTAAGGCTCTCTTTGATGAATCCTCATTGCAGGAGTTCATCTACCTGTTTCTTCAATTCAGCATGTTTAGTTGGGTTCATGCGGTAGTGAGGAAGGTTTGGTAAGGAAGCTCTAGGTAATAGGTATATTACGTGTTGAATGTCCCTAAGGGACGGGAGTTGGTTGGGTAAGTCTTCCGGGAAGACATCAGCGAAAGCTTCCAAAAGAGGTTTAATCTCCTCGGGGACAGGCTCTTCCTGATCATCATTAACTTCACTAGCTACCAGTGCGTACATGGGGGATCCTTGGGTAAATTCCATATCCATTTCTTTGGCAGTCACAAGGTGCGGGTCTTTACCGATTTTAGGGGTAGTGGGCTTATCTTCATCCTTACTGTTCTTTGGTTGGGAGGGAATAAGTTTAATCTTTTTACCGTTATGTTCAAATACGCAGGTATTTGTTCTCCCATAAATGTGGACGTCATTGTCAAAAAGCCACGGGCGCCCAAGGATGATCTGGCCAACATCCATAGTCAAAACGTCACACCAAATCTTTTCCTGATATCCAGCAAAAGTAATAGGGATGAGGCTCCTATCCTTAATTTCAATTGTCGTTGAGTTAATCCAAGCAACTTTATAGGGATTTGGGTGTGGTGTTGCCTTGATATTAAGCTTGGAAATCATGGCGGAGGAGACAACATTAATGCAACTTCCACTGTCTATGATGACTTTACAACTCTTGTCTCCTATCTTGGTAAAAGTGTGGAAAATGGACGTCCTACGCCAGTCATCATTAGGTTTAGGGTGGGACAATGCACATCTAACGACCATCAGATCAGCAGGGGTATCCTCCTCAAAGAAATCTTCCTCATCTTCCACATGGTGGACCAAATCAGTGTCGGGTCCTTCTTCTTCCTCAACAACTTCCTCAATTATAGTTACCTTGTACGGGCTGGAACATTGGGAGGCAATGTGTCCATATTCGTGACATCTAAAACACTTAGTGCCGGCAGAGGTCTTGGGGGTTTCCCGCTCAGGTGTTTTGCCTTTATAGTCTGGACGAGGTTGGGTTTGATTTGGGGAGGGTCGACTACTCGGGAGCCCAGCGGGTTTGTTGGACGGTTGGCTAGAGGAAGACCTGAACGGGTTGGGGCGAGGGTCGAGGTTTATAGAAGTGTGACTCCTAGATTCTTCCAGATCTAACACGAGACTACAGGCGGCTTCAAACGTGTTCACTCCTCTTGCAAACAATTCATTCCTAAGATCTTCTCTTAATCCTGCTCTAAACATCGATAGAAGTTGGACAGGAGTGGTGGTTTCTTCCCCGTTGCAGCGTATGATGAAATCATCAAAGGCCGCAATGTATTCTTTCACGGGCTTGTGTCCTTGGGTCAACCTATTCCAATGATCCAATAGCCTAGGGTAGTAGGACGGGGGAAGGTACTTCCGTTTCAATTCTTGTTTCATTGTTCCCCAGTCAGTCACGGGGTACTCTCCTCGGGTTTCGCGCATGTGTTTTAAGTTGGCCCAATACTGGTTAGCTCTACCAGTCAACTTCATTTCAGCGAATCAGACCTTTCTCTCTTCTGAAATATTGTACCACTTAAAATAGCTATCCATCCCTTTGAGCCAATCAAGAAAAACTTGGGGATCTAACGTACCATCAAAAGTCGGGGCATCTATCTAAATACTCTTAAGAAGTTGGGTATCGTTGTCTCTCCAAGGTGTGTCACGTCCTATCGATTCTTGATTGGGTCGGTAGTGGTCTCTAAGAGGTCCGTATTCAGTGCGGTTGTCGTCTCCGTAAGGAGAGTGGGGTCTAGAAGGGTGTAGATGGCCGGGTTTCCTATCCTTTCAATGTTGTCTAGTCTATCACCCGTTTGGCGTCTAAACTCAGCTAAATTCGTTTTAGTATCCCTAATTTGTTGTGTAACCGTTCCCAATTGGCCTACAATTAAGTCTAAAGTGGCTTGAGTGTGTTCCGGATCCATGGTTGGGTGCTAGGGGACACTAGGGAGAGTTTCTAAGTCAAGGGCAGCAGCTAATCACACTAGATTGCTCACTAAAAGGGTACCAACCGTAGCGGGGAAGTTCAGAGCAGCAACTAATATGAAGGACGAAGTTACCTAAGCAATTTAGGTGCAATTTAGGTGGACTCCGGAGTGTGGACAGCAAGTGACTACTACCTAAAACTCGCCCAAAAAGGCTAAAACAGGTGCAGAAATTAAGTGGTCAGCAAGTGTAGTCAACTATCTAAGTGGCCTAGACTAATGTAGATGTTATGGAGAAGAAGGCAGCACTCAAACAAAGAGATATGCTTATGTAAGATGAAGAAATCATGGCAGATTTTTCTGGACAGCAAAATGAAAACACAAATTAAGACTATCTAAATGATGTTATGCATGCCAGCCACTAAGGACAAGTTAAAGTGGACTCCTAGGATGCATCTAGCACAAGTAAAGCATGCTAACCTGGCTCTGATACCAAGATGATAGGAATCAATTAGGAGTTGCTTGCGGAAATTAAAATGACGATTAAGTAAAGCGTTACCACCACAAAGTTATCACCAACAAAATAGATGATTAAAGAAATTCTAGGTAATCAACTTGCTTAGGCGAAGAAATGCTTTGAGATAACCAAACAATTCAAAAAAAAAAAAAAACATCCAATGATAAAAGAAATACTTAAATGTTCATAACAAAATCTTACGCTTAATAATGAGAAAATTCACCTCGAGCACCTTCTCACTCATTTACTCTTGGCTTTTAGCGGAGGAGAAAGAACCATACAAAGATGGAGAGCACCACTACGGAGAAGGAGACGAATGACTTCGTTACCGGAGAGGTAGCCGCTGGTGGAGGTGGTAGTGGATGGCGTCCGGTGATTGTCCAAGCGTAGTCTTGAAATTGGCCGTCGATGACGTGCACAAGCGTGGGGAGGATTCGATCCAAGTAATCTCCAACTGTGTCTTCGTGATCAAACCCCACGTCGAAGAACGGAGATCAGAGAACGTGGATATTTCTGTAGGCGTCGAATACGAGTCCACCTTCAAATTCTGGATCCGCCATTCATAATGGGATCGAATGGGAAGAAGAAAAAGAGAGGAGGAGTTTGCCGTGAGCTAGGGAGAGGGATTAGGAGGGAGATCTTGTTTGGAGAAAATCTGAACTTGATTTTCAGATTTTCTTGGATTGGAGGGAGAGATTATTTGCCATTAAAATCTCCATAAATTAGGTTAGAGAGAGGGGCGGCTATTAGGGGGGGATTAATAGGCTAATTAATGGAGGCTTAGGTGGCAAGTGGAGAGAGAAACGGCTATGTGGGGTGGCCAGCCATGCAAGGAGGAAAAAAGGGGGGAAATTGATTAATTAGTGGGGCCAAGGGAATTAATCCAAATCTCATTTTGAATTTCAGATTTTAATTAATTTAGGAAAGTTTCCAAATGGGGGGAGAGAAGAGAGGGATTTGAATTTGAATTCAAAATAGATTGTGCCTCAATTAAATCTCTTTCCTATTTGGGGTGAACTAATTTAGGAAAGAATTAATAAGGGTTTTAATTTTGAAATTCAAATTTCATAGGGAGGGGGGCCCGGCGGGATTGCTCCAGGGGGAAGAGGGGCTGGGCTAGTGGGGGACGGAGAGCTGGATTGGGCCGGCGGCTGGCATAGCTTTCCTATGTCTCCTCTCTTTCTCTCAAGCTCTCAAGCAAGAAGAAGAATGAAATCTCAGAATTTTATTAATCAAACATTAAGCTCATACAATAGTAGAAGACCTCTTTATATAGGTCTCGTCAAAAGAAAATAACATGACTCAAATGCCCACAGGGCTACAACAAAGACTAAACATCCATAAGGGCGAAATAGTAAACTAAAAACTTGAAATTAAAAGATACATGGAAAATATCAAAAATGACATGGAAAACATCAGAAATATAAGCTCCTAATCGTAGCCATCGATCTACGATTCCTTCGCCGATAGACCTGCCTAAAATGTTTGTCGATGACCTCATCAATTTGAATTTGCTTTTATTACTAAAATAACTCTACCATTAGTCTCTCCAAAGCAACAAGTACAGTCCATGAGCATGCCAAAGACCACCCGGTGAAAATGAGTCCTTTGATCATCCCACAAGTTTATTGTTAAGTTGTGGAAATTAATTAATACCCTACAAAGATAAGTCTTACAATGATATTAGTGAGTTGTTTCATTAAAGATGTTTTAGGAATTTTATTGTATTTTTTTATTGCTCTATAATTTAGTTGAAGGGAAGATTATGAGGTATGATAAAAAAAGGAAATAGAGTTGTCAATTTCTCAGTAAAACTATATTATAATCATAGTGAAATCTATAGTGGTGGCAATATAACTTAGTCATCAATTGGATAAACCTATATAAAATTCATATTTGATTTGTGTGGAAATTATATTTTTTATTGCCCTCTATTATTTTATTTGCTATGGATGATTTGAATTAAGTCTCGCCTAATTCTCAATAAATATGTAATTAGTTTACTTTAGTCAAAACAATTGAGGTAGTGATATATTAATATGAAAGAATATATTAAATTGGTATGATAGCAATATTTTATATTATGGTCATATACCATTAAATTTGCAAGTTTAGAACAGTAAATCAACAAAAAAAAACAACAATATACTAAAGAAAATAAAATTTGAAATAGTACCTCGCCTGAGATTAAAACAAAAAAAATATATATATATATATATCAGCATGAATCAAGGCCTTCAACTATAACAAAACCAACTCCAAAATGGCAATTTTTTTAAACAGAACATTGACCAACTATATATTAAAATAATGAACATTAAAAAAATTTAAATATAGGCCTAATGGGAGAGCGATTCATGCTGCTATGTTGGGAGCTTGTGTCGATGTGCCAGACAAGTCAACCCAAAGGGGCTATTGGCTATATTTATTTAGTTTTTAAATGCATTTGGTCTCTGTGAACTACACATTGGATGTCAACTAACTGTTGCCCTCCACTCCAAGCCTTTCTTTAACCTTTTTTAAATGTATTTAAACCTATGTTGCACCGATACGGATACAGCGACACTGATACGACACGATACGGATACGGGACACGTCAATTCTTAAAAATACAGGATACGGGTACGGCGCGGATACGACATCATAATTTATAAATCAAACATAAAAATTAAGAAAGCAATCAAAGCATAATATTTGAAATTACCCAAAAAAAAAATGACAACAACATCATTTGTAGCCTTGTAGCTTATAATATCAAAATATAAGTAAGCATTAAATGTCTAGTACAACTATTCAATAGAAGGAATGATATGATTAGCTTCTTCAGTGGTTTATCTTTGAACTTCTATATCATCTTCAATAAATATCATAGCTTTTAATTCAGTCTCTTCAAGTGAAAGGTTAGTAATTTATAATATTCTCATATCATCAAGAGACTCAAATCCATCTCGGAAATGAGAGAACTTTGCTCGCAGCCGCGGAAGTAAATACGACACATCTTTTTTTTCGGATTTCTTTTTGTTTTTCAACGGACACGTGTATCGGATACACGTGTCCTTTTGAAATTAAATAATATTTTAATTGGATACGTCTATGGCGTATCCGACACGTATCGGTGGAGTATCGGAGGCGTATCCGTGTATCGGATACAGCACACCTTCATAAATAGGTGTATCGGTGCAACATAGATTTAAACCATCTTAACCTCTCATTATATTCCCTTCTCACCCCCTTTCTTCTTTCCCTCTCTCCCCCTTTCTTCCTTTCTCCGTTTCTACATCTTCTCCAAATATTTTCCACCCAAATCAAAATTTCTTAGAAAATTAAATGATATAATTCATTTCCTAAAATATATTTAATAGTTACTAAAGGATATCAATATTCATTTGAAAAGATTAAGGTATATATATATGTCATAAAATAGCAAAAAAACTTAGTTAAATTCTATTATCACTTCTAAAGTATAAATTAAAAATATTTTATTCATTTTCTTAAATTGAACAATGAACTACCAGTAAGCATTTTCTAGCCATTTAAATTACCATTTTTCACAATAAAAAATAAATAAATAACGTAAGTGCCCTCAATGTGCGATTAATTATTCTGTGCGGATGTCAAATGCCATCCAGAGACCAACCAGAATGCGCCACGTCACCACTTGCTCGATACCGCGGCTCAGTACTCCTGATGTGGAGCATTCTGGTTGTTCTCCGAACGACATTCTATGTCCGGTCTCCGCACATAATAATTTCTTTCAATGTGGTGACTAAGCCAAGTATAATTTTTTTTTTTTCAGTATTTCTGTCCTTAATACAATTTTAGGTAATGTTTAGTTCAAAGTTTTCGCCAGAGATCAATATGAAGCATAGATTAAAATGATATAATAGCAATGAATTATATTATGGTGAAATATCATTCAATTCATACAGTTAGAACAGTACACCAGCAAAGAAAATTCAGCTAAATACTGAAGAAAATAAAATTCGAAATTGTATCCCATCTAACATAAAAAATAATTAAAACAAAAAACCATTACCGGGAAGCAAGACCCTCAGCTGCAGCGAAACCAATGCCAGAATTTCCTCCTGTCACCAAACAATTCTTTCCTTCCATTTGGACTTGCATATCCTCCGCCTTGAACTTCTTCGAATGTTCTCTGAATCAAAATATTGCAGAATCAGCACATTATTTTCATAAGATTTCATCAATCAAAATGCGAATCCTTCCGACTCAAACAAACTTTTCAGCTAAATTAATCCACTTCCCCAACTTCATACACAGAAAAAAAAAAAGTTCTAAGAATCTACAAAAATTTAAACAAAGGAAGACATGAGAATTTACTGAAAACCGGATTTGGTGAATTGGGTGAATCCGTATACTCCAAAAGCAACTTGCCTCCATGCCTACAGAATACGAACTTCTTGGATAAGAAGATGAAAGCAGCTTTTGTAAACCCTAGAAATTTCTATGAAGGGGAAGGTCGATTGAATGATTACCCTTTGAAGAAACATGCTTCCGGTAAGCGAAATTGCTTGTGATGAGTCACAAAAATAGCCTTCATGGGTACGAATATATATGCAAATTTGATGTAGCCTCAAAATTAAATTTGGAATCATTCAAACTCAAACAAATTTTAATCAAATTGAACATCTCAATGAGACAAACTCAATTACACCAAATTCATTTCAATATGAACCCAAATAAGTCCAAATCAAATGGCCAAAGTCTATTTGAAAGCTTCAAAACATTAATGAGATGGCAAGAGGATATATGAATATGGTATGCTTATAGTTGAATCGAGTGGCTCGATGAAAATAATCTAGCAAGTCCAAGATAGCCAAATTCTGACATTATTAATGCACTTAAATGCTTAATGAACTTTCTATTATCAAGGGAATCAATATGGGTCATCCGATTGAACACTCCAAAATTATCCTGAATCTTTTTCATGTTACTCCAAAAAATTTATAAATAAATCATCATTATTAACATGAAAGGGGCAAGAGGAGGTAGGAGGAAGAAGAGAATAGCTACGGGGTTTGAAAAATCCTGAAGCTCCAACTCGACACCACATCCGAAGAATTCGAGCCACTGAGTCGCCATTGCTAAACCTCTACTCGACCATCACCGTTGGGCCTCTATCTAGCAACCATTGTCGGGTCTACCTCTAATCACTGTCAACCAACAACTACAGTCCATCTAACCACATCATCCGACTATGATCCATTCGACCTCTATCGTCCTTTGATTATGTCATTCTGACTACCATTCCCAAACTACAAACCTTCCGATTACCTTTTCCAGACTACGGTTCTTCCAACCACCGTTGCTAGACTATAGTCCTTTCAACCTTCGTTGCTTGCTAACTACGATCATTCTGACCACTATCATCGACTACGGCCCTACCAAATAAATGAAAGCAACTCTAATGTCATCGGATCCTCCCAACTTCAACTATGTAATATGCTCCATGTAATGTATATTTACTATATTGAGCCAAAACCTTCGTCGCAAGAAGAGCATCATTTGCAATCAACTACCAACACTAGTGGACTTATTTAAATTAGGCAAGACATCGTGGTTTTCTCTTTTGGGAGTTTTTTATGTTAAAATCATGATGACTCTTATGCACGATGCACCATAATCTTTTTTTTTTTTTTTGTGCTGGATTTTTCTATAAAGCTAAGATGCTAAACTTTATATTTATCTATCGTCACAAATATTCCAGGATGCAACAGATTGCCTTCGAACTGTTATGTTTGTCTACATATCACTAAGCTTTGATGACCATTGCTCTAATAATGCTAGAGAAAAAAATATGGATAAAAATTTTGGTGCTGCCATTTTTTTGGGAATTTACACAAATTTTGTATATGCTTATACGTTTAACCCCGAACTTTTCATATTTATTTACATAATATTTAAATTTTAAAATTATATTACGACCGATTCAGGAACCGACCCAACACAAACCTCAAGTTCGAACAAAGATTATAATACAAGTTAAACAAAATCAAATAGATTCAAATCTAAATATATAAGACCTTAATAAGAAGCACATAAATCTAAAATTTACCCCTATTGAAAATAATTTAGCCCAAAAAAATGTAATTTTTTAGAAAAATAAAGATATTTGCCCAAATAATTGTATCATGAGGCATATAATTCATGTACCTTGTTATTCAGCTCTACTTAGGCAATTTCCTCTTATAAAATCTGCATATTCAGATATTCTAACTGTAACGCGTCAGTCATATAAATTCAGGCTGTGTTTCTTTTTGGACGGAGGTGTTGGTGGGAAAAAAATGGAGACAGAACCTAGACCTCGAGCAGTGTTCATGGCCTTCGGCACTAAAGGCGACGTCTTTCCTCTTGCGGTAATTTATTTCATTCTTTTCTCACCTTAAGTAGCTGCACGGAAGAATCAAAGTAGCAAACCCTAAGGGGTGTAACAACTTCTTAATCAAAAATTTTTTTTTTTTCATTTTATTTTCTTCCGCTTGAGAATGAGTATCTATGGCATCGTCTTACTAAATACAAGGTAGTTTGTTCGTACTCACTGCCGAATCAGTTATGTCATGATCTTCTAAATCTCATGTCTTTCTGCTTAGTTGTTTGGCTTATGTTCGTCGTATTGCAATGCGGTCCGGATGGCTATGAAATTAGATTTTTACTTAAACCTGTATAGTTCGGAGGCATCTGTATACTTCTTCAAGTGGTGTTTCTAATGATTCCTTTAGCTTTCAATTCACCTCTGATAATGAAATGAAGAGGCTGTTTGGTTTGCGGACATTGCAATGCTATTTAATGTTACGAGAAGACGTCAGATTTATGCTTCATTGGCATCTTTAAATAAGAAATTGAAAAGCGGAATTTATGTTTGAGGACTTATTGTAATAACTCAAACTCTTAATTATAGATATGCTATCTACTTTGGCCCAATAGCCTCAAGATTTTGTACCATTGGTGTAACTTCTCAGGAGATCATCCATCCTAAGAGTGCTCTTATACGAGCATGCTTAACTTTGGAATATCTAATAAAATTTCAATTGTTACACAAAATGAGTTTCGATGTTAAGAGTAGGTTCATTTTCATGAGGGGTTTCACAGTTGTAGATGTCACTCAAAACAGGGCAACATCCATATATTGCTCAACATCTACATATTTGAAGCCCCAAAAGTGTCATGTTATGCACCTCACGGTCGATGAGTTGCAATAGTCTCTTCTCGAGCATATGATGGCGAATCTCCTATTGCGCTTTCCCTTTTTCTATGATGCATGAGCTTCCTATCTGTTGGAACTTGTCACTCTGACTTCCAGTTTTGCAAATCAATCTTGTTCAAAATGACATAGTAGCTCTTTCATACTTCATCTTGTGAATGACAAGGTAAAAAATTAATTTTATGTGTTTATTCTAATGAGGTTTCCCCTAATTAATACTAAATATTGTTCGATGGGTTCGATGGTAATTTTACCACAAGTGTATAGGACTCTAAAGATAACATTGAACCAAACAATTATATTTTTGAAAATATTGACATTATAAAATAGAATAACATTGAATCAAACATATATTATTTTACAAATAGAGTATGATATCTTAGTAATATTGATATCTCAATAACATAGAATTATATAAACCCGAAATGCGAATAACCCATCTTCCTCTCTTCCAAACAAGAGAGTATATCTGGTTCTATGCTCACTTAAAAAAAAGTCTAATCCACAATTCCACATTATCACATTTCTTGAGTCAATAAATTTTCATGAGGAATTATTGAACTTTATCACTTGTTACCAAAAACAAAATTTTGATGATGTCTATCGCATAGAGATACTTCAGCTGGATCAATGTTTGATTCCCACTTTTTTATATGTAGTTATATAGTTGTATTTGATCTACAACAAACATGGCTGATATCTAAAACTTCACTTATTTTTTTGTCAGGCTATTGCCGCTGCTCTTGCAAATGACCAGAAACACTACCATGTGGTGTTCATCAGCCATGCAGAGCATCAGGTTGTAAAACAATGATCTCTGCATACCAGTTGATTCTGAATTGTGAGTCCATATTTACGTCTTTGTTTTTAATCGCTTTTACAGAATTTAATCTATCATCTGAAAGCCAAAAATGTTTCCTATATATCAGTTTCAACTCCATCAGTACTTTCTGCACATCAGTTTGACGCCGTATCAGGTGAGACCACTTGGGTGAATCTTAGTTTGAATTCCCTCTTTCATCATGAGCTATGAGCCTATGACCTTCAATTGGGGTTTTGACTTAGATGATCCCAAGTCCCCATCCTTTGCGATGTACAAGATGAAGATTAAAACCGAACATAAACAAGAGTGCTTATCTGCTGTTGCAAAAGTTTTTGGAGATGGTCCTTGCTTAAAGGGTGATTTTATTGTGATCAATTTCTTTGCCTTGGTACTGATTAATAAAAAAAGAAAAAAAGAAAAAAAAAAACTTATTCTGCTATCTTTCCTTTGGATTCATTTAAATAACATTGTCCCAAATGGCGATGCTATTTTCAAGGCCTTCATATGTTGGTTAACCAAATATTTTAACTGAACACTTTTCTTAATATGCGTTATTCCAGGAAGGCTGGAGTATTGCAGAATTATATCAAATACAATGTGTGGTTGCTGCTCCTTATGTTGTTCCCTATAGGTACTGAAATCACATTTATTTTTAATATGCTATAGATAGCAGTTTTATGAACTGACAATTCCATTTGGCCCGTTCCTATTCTCGTGTTAGCATAGGTTATTTCATATGAAATGCAAATATCGGCAAAACATTTTGAATTCTTGCTTCCTTCATGCACTAGCTTGTTAATGCTAGACTCACAAAATCAGAACGTTATTTTTATGATTTTATCATGTTCTCTTCATTATATTCTTATGTAGTTTCTTGCAAATTGCTGTTTTAACATCCTGCTCATGTGTCTTTTAGGCTTCGTTTGGGACGGCTTTCTTGCTGCTTCTTAAAACAACTTTCTAGTACAAAAGTTAAAATTTTTGTACTCAAAAGCTACTTTAAGAAGCAGTAAAAAAGCCATCCCAAATGAAGCCTTAATGTGAATTAAAAATGACATTTACTTTGCATTTTGTCAGCGCTCCTTCTTCATTTGAACGCTGTTTCAAAAAGGAGTTCACTCTTTTATACAAATATTTTCATGAAGCTTATGCTAATGATGTAACTTTCTAAGGCCTTTTTTCACCCTGTCAATCTAAATTGCTTCCTTCATCTTTTATTTTTTGAGAACTGTCATCTTTCCATATAAGCAGATCTGCTGGAATGATGTTATCCACTGGATGTGGCCACTCTTCACGGAAGAATGGGGTTCATGGAGAAGTGAATGTTTACATCTAGGCTCTCTTCCTTTTACGGTGTGTATAAGCATATTTGGAATCAATGCTTGCTAAAATTTTCCTATTTTTTATTGATTTCTACAAACCTATAATTTATTTGTGTCAATATGCTTAATAATAACTTCAGGATCCTGTAACCAATCTACCAATGTGGCACATGAGGAAAAAATCATCATTGCTGCTGTAAGAATCCTAAATTTCAACACTTGTGAGGCATAAATTGCTTATAATTTCAATATCTGTGTGATTTATCTTGTTTTTTATCATATCAGAACTGAATTATACACCTTGGATCCATTTTTTAAGATTGACTGAATTTGTGATCAAATGAGGAACCACACAATTATTTTTTACCATCACACTGTGATCCAGGAGGCTCTTAGAAAAATTGTAAAATTAACCTTGAAGGATAAAATTGAATTGAGCTGGGATTTAATTGCAAAATTGCCCTTTGAATTTCCAGTAAGGGGGGTGGCCAAGGAGGGTAGAAAGAGAAATGCTCTTCAAGAGAATCAAATCACTCCACCAATTTTTCATACTTATCTAAAGGGCCGACCACTTTTAATGGAGAGAATCTAGGTGTTGCTAGTTATTTTTAAGGATTAGTTCCTATTTTTCTAGCTTCTTTGAATTCAAATAGATTGATGTATTTTTTATTTCTATAAATAAAGATCAAGTCTGTAATCTGAAATTAAGTTTTTATTATATGAAAATTGATTCCTATTATTCTATGATTTCCTTTTCTTCAAATACTGGTTATATTTCTCCTTTCCCTCTATCAATCCGTTTTCAGATTCCTTCAGTTAGAACTTAGAACCAAAAATTTCCTCTATTTTTTGCCTGCACCAGCCGGCAACCTAGCTCTAGGCCAATTCAATGCATGTACACTACTAGCCACCAGCACGACAAGTACAAGGAAGGAGACAACTATTTAACTGCTGTCCTTTTCTTGTTTTACCCATAAAAGTGAGAAAAGATCAAGGGGAAACCCATTGCCCCTCAATGTATGCTGTAGAAAGTAAAAAATCTGTCTTAGATTTAACCTATCAGTACAATGAATCCTCCACACCACAAATTGGGATCACACCAACGGTACAACGTATGAATTTATAATTGTGATAATTGGGGAAGTTTACTCAGAACTTTTACTTATTTTTTGTTGCAACAACATAAAATAATATACTTCCATGATTTTATTCATATGAACACATTGAACTAATCATTGTGCTTGATTTTTAGCTGTTGGAATCTTTTTGGCTCCAGTATCAAATAAACTAGATAGCATACAACTCATCTTTTTTCAGAAAGCTTGATGGGCTGAACAACTTCAGATTGAAAAGTTTGAAATACTCTCTGATCCCACTACTACATCTTGGTAATATAGTGATGAGGACATCGTCAGCATTTTCGACGCCGGAGATCGACGGCCACGAGCATGACTTGTATTTTGTCATTTTATGTAGTAGCGTATTTTATTCTATAATTTCCTAAAGTAACTCCATCGCATGTACGTTTCACATCATATAGGCTGTGTTCTATTGCTAATTTTAAGGGAAGAGATGATAAAATCCTTAGAAGAAGTAGCTGCTACTCATCGAAATTGATAACTCCATGCACCCAAATTCATTTTCTTCGTAGTATTTCATAGCACCCAATAATTAGTGTAAAATTTATTGAATTTATAAAGATGTAATATATGCAATAGTGTAATTTTTAAAATTTTCACTATACAGGTCACTCTAGCCGACAATTTTTTTATTTTTTTATTTTTGTTTGTTAAATTGTGGAGGTTAGTTTTTGCTCCACAAAGAAAATACTTTCACTTACTTAGTAGTGGGATGCCGAGTTATATTTGTATTAGAGGAATTAAAGTTGCAATTCTTCACAATCAAATCATTGTGAAATATGCAGTTGCATCAAGAGATATTTGCCATCAATTGAATGAATATGTATTAAATTCTGTGTGTTTTTGTGCATTGATCTTCTTTTAAATTTTCTATTTTTCCCTCTCTATGTTTAAATAGGTTCACACTAGCAAATGATGGTATGTAGTAATGGCTATTAACTACTTGTATATTTAGTATAACAACCAAACCGTACATAAAATATGAGCAGCTTGGCTCTGGAGGTTGAATATAAATGATAAGGTGCTTGTAAATCAATAATAATAATTTTTAGCCCCATTTATTGTTGAGGGCTTAATAGTAGTCAGTGAAACTTAAATATGGACTACATCAAGTTTTTTCAATTTTTGAACTATGAACCAGCAACTCCTTCCAGTTTTCCTCTACACCAAGGCAACGAGTGGAAGTAGGTTAACGGCAGATAGGTAATTGAAATTCAGAGTTGGTTTTTTTATCTGAAGTTTTACTTTCTGGTCTGCTAATTTGAGCAAGTTTGATGGCTTGGCCATGAGCTTTTTCCTGCCACTCTTGAATTCAAAAAAAGATTTTTTGTTTTGTCAGAAAGCTGCCACAACTTATTTGTTTATAAATTTCTTATCGTCTTTCAGAATATTTTGTGATTAGAGTTCTTTTAAACAATTAAATCTGCTTGTTATCCAACTTAAAGAAATTATAGTACTTACAATAACTAAAAAAAAAACTTTTCTCTACGGTAACTCTACTTTTACGTTTATAAATAGTCATAGCAACCCCAAATGAATTGAATGTTATTATATTAATATCCTTGCATTTTCTAGTTTGAGTTGTTTTATTTTTAATTGGCTAAAATACTGCTAACATTTGTGAGTTTGTATTTTAATGATCAGATATGGGTTCAGCAAGGAGATTGTGGAATGCCCGGGTATAATACCTGAACTTCAATGCAAGGAATATTTTGTCCCATTTTTTTTGTTTCTAATGTTCTATATATTTTAGCTCCATTTGCTTTTACCTTATTATTTCAATTAATTTTGGTCTTGTAATCTTCTTTTGGTGAAAAAAATGGAGTTAACTGAATTTATGGTCGTCAGTGTAAACATCATTTAAACTAAACATCATTGGAATTATGTAGTTATGCTATTAAAGGTGTTATGGGTATTTGTAAAAATATTTGTAAAGTTGTTGCGGTAATAATGCATTTTTTTAAAGCTATTGTGGGTTTTATAAATTTTGCTTTTTTTTGAAATGTTTGTATAACAACTTTCTTACAAATAGCACATTCTAGCGGATCTAATCGTAAAAAATATTTTTGAAAAGCAACAATAATATTTAGCAAAATTAAGACGTGACTTTGTGAAAAAGCTGCCACAAACAAACCCTAAATTTAATTGATGAGATGCATATCACTAAAGTTATTTCAATGGATTCTTAAATGTAGTAAGGAGGTATTCCGGAAGTAGGTCATTATCAACTTAATTAGATCTCATTAGTCTTATTGTTATATGAGGATTTATTTTATCTCTATCTGGCCTAGATTATCTAGAACTTTTTTTGTGCATACATGTCTCCTTTTGACTTGTGTTATGTTCTCTCTCCTCATTATTTTTCCTTTCCTTTTGTTTCTTAGATAAAAAGGAATATCTTTAATTTCTCTATGTGCTTTTAATTTGAACTGCGTCAAACCACCAATTTTACAAGCTTTTTGTACCTTCTTTATTTTATGTATGTAGGAACTATTACTTGTGTTCAAAGATAAGGTGGTTCGTGTCACGATCCGGCCTGGTTAGCTCGTATATACGAGGCGCGAACGAAATTGAACATTCAGATCAATCACTATTCATCTTTCATGTAAACAAAATTTTTCTAAACAATCTTCAAGAACAAAAAGCGCATCTAAAATTTTATTTCCATTCCATAGAGTTTTCACAATATACAAGATGACAAACTTCTAACTATTCATGCTATGCACGCCATCCAAAAGTAAAGCAAGGAACCACAACTAAGAAAAGCAATAAAAGAACCTGTCACCCGTTGCTCGACGACTGTAAGTATACCTCGGGTGATCCGCCATCACTTATGAGAAGGTTCTCCTGAAAATTTTCAAATCTAGGGAGTGAGCTACGCTCAGTAATTGACAACTACAGCTAAAGTTCATGTGCATATAAAAGAAGATAGTTTGTAGGTTAATAACATGTGCTAATGTATGTCTTGAAGTAGGTACTAAGTTGACTATGTGCTCAACATGAGATATACTTGCTTAACATGAGATATGCTTGCTTAACATTAGATATGCTTTCATATGCTTATCTTTCTACATCCGTCCCGGAGTACCGAATTGTACTGATCAGGTACACATCATTAATGACCATATCATTTTCATTTCGTTCCATATTGCCTCAAAGGCCGTCTTTGCTCAAAGAGCCACATATTGATACTCTGCCATCAACAATCACAAGCTATGCATTTCATATATGGTACACATTTCATAGGTATGATAGATTTAAGCATGAAAATACGAAAATGCTCATGATTTCATATGAATTGCTAAGGAGTTTTCTAACATATAATTTAAAACCATTAAGTAACAATTGAGCGTGAACATGACATATAGACTTTGAACATAAAATTTCTATCTTCTTTGCAAATAATAACATAAAACAATATATATGTATATATAACGAAATGAACACGTTCCCTAGCATGTAGAGTCACTTACCCTCAAGCTTTTCTTTGCAAAATTCCCGCACAAATCCTCACCACCTTTCCTTATTCCAACCTAAGGGAAAAGAGATTATCAATTACTTTTACAAGTATTTAAATCTCCAATATTTTTAATTTTATTTAAAATTAAATGTTATTTTCGGATTTGTCAAAAATCCCAAAATTTAGACTTTCAATATTTGATATTTTCATCTCTTAAGCATGCAAAAACATTCCCTTCATCTAATTAGTAAATAATATTAATAATTTTCGGATTAATTTTAGATAAAAATTAGGAAAAATGTTTTTCTCTCAAATTCCTCAATTAGAGGCTTCTCTAAGCCCTTAGGAACATACTTAGTGAACATGCAACCTACAAAAACTAAGTTTGCAAAAAAATCCTAAACTTTCCCAAATTTTTACACTCAAAATTGCTTAAAGAAAAATTACATTTTTTATACCAAAAGCCTCCCCTAATATTCTTCTAGCCATTCCCATAAAAATTTCATAAAAAAAGAGACCCTAATTTTAGGATTTAATGTTTTTCTTCAAAAATTTTAACTTGTTGGATAGGAAATCATAGACCTAAACAAACCCTAAAGATTTCCTAAAGAAATTTCTAAAAAAAATCAAACCCTAAAATTTTTTTCTATGAAAAATCTCAAGAAAACCTTCATATCCTTTAAGAAGAGCTTACCTCAAGTCTCCCCCTACGCTTTTCCTAAAGACTCTCGCCGGAAACTCGCCGTAATCTTGCCGGAGAGACCAAGCCGACGCCGTTTCTCCCCTTCTCCCTTTGGCTGATGAGGGCTTAAGGAAAATGGGCAAAGGAAAATTATGCATGTGCCCTTATCCTATTAATATTTCTATTATCATATGAAAGGGTAAAATGGGTAAAACAAGCCAAATGTTACTTAAAGCACTTCGGCGAATTTTAATTCCCAAACCGAGCGAAATTAACTACAAGTTTTTTATACCGTTTCGATCAAAATTTCTTGACGAATTTAATAAAATTTATTTCGTCGAATTCCGACGACATCGAAATTTCACTTAAGTTCGTCGCGGCGCATCGATATGCGTGCGACGCACTCAAATGACGAATTTCGGGTTTTACAGTTCGACCAAGTATTTTCCTATTTTAATTGGATTATGTCAAGGATCATCTTTAAACCCATATCTTTTTGCTTTAGTCTTGGATGTTCTTACTAGACATTTGCAATTTGTGTATGCTTTGTACTGATGATATTCTTCTTGTTGATAATACTAGAGAGGGAGTTGAAGAAAAATTTGAATTTTGGAGGTCAACCTTAGAGTCTAAAGGTTGGAGTAACTCTAGTGACATATAAGATTAGAGAGAGTCGCCTTAGCTGGTTTGGATACAAAACATCAGCCTTCTGATGACTTAGTTGGAGAGTTGATGTATTAGATTTGGCTTATGTTAAAAAAGGTAGAGATAGACTTAAAAAGACTTGGTTAGAAAATATTAAAAATGTTTTTTTTTATATATATATTAGATTTAAATGAGAGTTTGACTCTTAGCAAGACATAATAGAGAAGAAGGATTCATATAGCCGACCTCACAAAGTGGGATGAAGAAGGATTCATGTAGCCGACCTCACAAAGTGGGATAAAGGCTTAATGTTACTGTTGTTGTCTATTTTATCCTTTCTTTTTATCTTGTTTTTATTGTTTTGACTTGAATGACATGTATAACAGGGTACTGGCCATCAAATGCTCATGTGTGTGGATTTTGGTTTCTACCTCTAGAATGGCAATTTTCGTGCAGTAGATGCAGGGAAATGCTGTCCTCAACTTCCTCTAAATGCTTAATCAAGAAAAGCGAGCTCTGTGCAAATCATGCTGATTTACAAAGCTTTCTCATGGATGAATCTAGTTCACGGTTATCCATTTTTATTGGACTAAGTTCTATTGGAAGGCAAGTTCTAAACTTTTTATTTTGCATAAATACTTGTTTGTTTCTGACACTTTGGCTAGTTTCTTTTTTTTTTTTTTATGAATCACATTTCTTGAAATCTCTTACAACATATGCTATCGTTTTTCATTATGTTGGTCAATTCGGTTTACGATGGTACTTCTCTTAATATTGACTCCAACGAGTCAATAAAATTGTAAAGACATTGATGTAGGCAAGCTTTGGGTGTACAAGTTGCTTGGGTTCTTTTGATTTTTGGGCTGCTAGTTGCCTCTCGGGTTGGGCCTTGGCTGCTTAGGTTTTGAGCTAAATTATTGGGAGCTACTTGGTTCTAGCTCATTATTACTTGAGCTGATGTTTTAGCTCATTATTTGGAGGAGTAATTGCACTTGATAGCTCATTAATGGAGTGGTTTCTTGCCTCTTTCCTTTCCCTGTGTCCCCTTAGTTTCCTCCCCTTGGCTGCCTTCCCGTGAATGGTTCCTTCCCCTTGTGCTGTCTGTTTCGGTTCCCTGGATGCTGTCCCGGCTCCCTGTGCTGCCCCTTCGATTCCTTCCCTGGCTGCTTCTCCCGTGGCTGCTTTTGCCTCTTCGATTCCTCCCCTGGCTGCTTGTCTCGTGACTGCTTTTGTTGATTTTTTGTGTGGCCTTTTTGGGTGCTGTTATGGAATTAATTTTGGCCTTTTTTTGGGCTGTTTGGTTGTTGTTTCTGGACAGCCAGCCGGCCTTTCATTTCCCTTACATGATTGGTTTATTTGGAGGTGTTTTATGGGCTGTTTGGCTGCTCTCTTTTCTCCTATAAATATTAGGTGTTTTGTATGAATAAAAAAAAGGGTTATGGAGTGATTTTTGGAAGCCAAAACCTGCAGATTTGTTCGTGGAAAAGCTTGCGAGCTTGTTCCATTCCTCTCTTCCTCTAGGAAAGCTTGCGAGCTTGTCCTCTCTTTCGTCTCGGTTTCTTATCTCATTCTTCTATCCGCATGTGACTACCCCAATTGTATCCTTCTTCTCAGGCGATGGAAATGCAATTTTAGGTCTTTTATGTTTTGTCAAAAGTTGTGTCTTTCTATTATAAAAGTGAAGTTGTTTTTGGTTTAATTGTTGTATTTTGTCTACTTTAGGGTATTTTATGTATTTTCTTTAATCCTAGGAAGTGTTTCTTTTGCTTGCAAAAAATTAGGGGCTTTCCTAATTTTTTGCTTGCATCAAATATTAAAACGTGCTAGTCTGCTTTTCCAAATATCTGACATGATGAATTTGAGCATAAAAGAACCATGGGGATTGAACCGAGAAAAATCATCAACCAAATGGCTTTAAATACCAGTTATCTCCATCTTCCACATATTTTTTCCAGCCTAGCTGTGCTAATCTCGTATATAATCTGCCATTTGCCTTGGCGGTCATCCTTTTTTGTCAATCCTTCTTAGATATCACTTGATGTTTTTTGACATAGAAAAATTTGGTCCTTTGTTTATGTTTTTAGACAATTCTTTGAAACTTAATATTTCTAATTCGTAATGATGCCTTGCACATTGAAAAGCTTCATTGTTTTTTGAAACATCTGCTACTACACAATGTTTGCAATGTTTGATTAATCTGGTGATCTGGTCATACCAACCGATTTGACTGGGTATTGATTGGTTTCCTTTTTTTGTCCATCTGTCACTCAAGACCAAAGTCTTAGTGTAATGTTTGATTAATCTATGCCTTAGATTATTTGGTCACATAAAATGTCGGCCTTCCGATAATCATGTTAGGAGAGTATATGTATTAGATCCAATCTATGTTAAAAAAGATAGAGGTAGATCTAAAAAGACTTAGTTAAAAAGTTTAGAAATGACTTTTTTCTTATTGGATTTAAATAAGAATTTGATTTTTAATATGACACGATGAAGAAAAATGATTCATTTACTTGACCCATATAGTGGGATAAAGGCTTCTTGTTATTATTGTCACCCAAGACCAAAGTCTTAGTTGTGTTGAATAGAACAAAGCTGAATTGAAAAGACTGAACCCAATTTACCCTGTTCAGTTAGTATTCTTGGAGCGATGTAGTTGGTATTCCTTCCCCTTTTTGATGATCACTATGACTGTTGTCTTTGAGAAATTGCACTGATAACTTCACTGTCAATGATAGTGTTAGACCGGTCCCTAGTGGACCGGCCCAACCCCAACCGGCCTCTTTGAATAGGCCGGTTCTTTGCTACAGGAGGAGGGGCAGCAGCATAAGGAGAGAGGAAGGAGTGGGGCCCACTAGGGATTCAAATTCGAAGGAATTGGAGGCAAAGGATGGGGCGGCAAGGGCAAGGGAGTAATTTAGCTTTAAATAATTAATTGTATGCTTTACGTATGAGAGGAGGGATTACGGTTAGGGTTATGCATGATTTGGAGTTGTTCTCTTGGAGTTTTCTTGCTTTCTTGGGCTCTAGATCCACAATCTAGAGATTGAGAGAGACGATCCTCCTCTTGAATTGAGGATCAATTGTATCTTGCTTGGAGTTTGCTTTGCTTTGATTCTACTATTGCAATCTATCATTTTTTAGATTGATTTATTCCAGATTTTCTTGTTTTTCTCGCTGTTTTGGCCAATTATTGCTAGGTTTGCTTGCAAACTCGAGCATTTCTTCTTGGATTACTTGCGAACTCAAGTATTTTCTATCAGATAGCTCCTTTGATTGATGCATGATTTCTATACTATTGCTTTATCCTATGTCAATCAAGATGTTCAGACCACCTTACCAACCTACCTCACTTCCATACCATTGTTTATAGTAGAAGTACTACATTGTTATTGCAGAAAAGTTGAAAAGTAAAAAAGTAGAAAAATTACTTTGAATTTTATGTTTTGATTCTATACAAAGTGTGGAAGTATATTTATAAACTTCTTCAAAATTCTTACAATGGACATAAATTAAGGCTATTTAAAAAAAAAAAAAGTACTCAAGAGGGTTAATATGGCTAGAAGAAGATGTAAGACTCATGAATTTCAATCTAAGGGTCATAAGAGGACCAATCTATGATTGGGAGCCTTAATCCGTGTGCTTAAGCATCCCTTTTATCAAGATTGGTTAATTTGCGTGTCCTACATATAGCTAGTTGTGTGTGGGAGAATGGAAGAAGCTCTATTTGTGATGTCAGTTGTGATGTGAGCCCCAAGATCATTCAATAATTATCAATGTCTAATGTCGCCTCAATTTTACCAGGTTATTCTCCATCCCTTGCTTATGCACTGGTGTCATCATGAACCAAGGCACTGCATAACTGCATGGTTTGAAATATTCAAGCCTTATCAAAGATGCATATCCAAATATCTTAAAGATAGTTTTAACTTGAGTCGGTCTGGTTCCGTATGCTAAGTAAAATGTATAATATTGAATTTGCTAGAGGTATAGTGAAGTCTTCAAGGACTCGCAGCAACTTGCAACATTATAACGAGTACCGTGTACATGAAATTATTTTTGAACTCATCTGATACTACAAGCTTGAAATTATTTTTGAATTCATCTGAGACTACACGCTCTTAAGTCACTTCTACTTCAGAATGACTCGCCTGAGCTTTGAAGTTACTGACTACATTTGCTAAAGCAGCCCCCGCCTTCTCCTAGAGTGTTGGCTTCAACTAAGGATCTTCAATGGATTCTGGCCATTCAGCTCATTTATTATTACAACAAGCAACTTTCTGTAGCGCCAAAACTTGGCTTGAACCTTTAAAAATAGTGAAGTCATCAAAGACTCTCAGAAACTCAAAACATAATGATGTACTCACAGCAATCATTAGAGAGCTTCAGCCTAGAGTACCGAGTACATGAAATTGTTTTTGAACTTACCTGAGACTACTCGCTTTAAGTCACTCCTACTTTAGAATGACTTGCCTGAGCTTTGAATTTATTGACTACATTTGCCAAAGTCAGCCACGGCCTTCTCCTCGAATGTTGGCTTCAACTAAGGAACTTCAATGTATTCTGTTCACACATCTCATGTATTATTACAACAAGAAACTGCTAAGCCTAGCTATGTATGTTCTTATTGGATATTATTTCTCCAGTAGTGCCAAAATTTGGCTTGAACCTATAAATATGTGGTTAAAGGGAAGGCCTGGCTCACTAAGTTATTTCTACTCAAGGGGAAGGCTTGGGATTCCAATTCATATATACTCGTTGTATTTGTCGTGTTATGCTTGTCAGTAAGATTCTAGTATTATCCATGAACATTTTTGGATCCAACAGTTCAAGCTTTGTCGAAATGTTAGTGATGCAAGAGAGCTAGGATAGTTTAGAGAAAGCCTTCGTAAACACCAGCTATAATTTCAACATTTGGAGTGATGGACGCCTTGAGTTAGCTTGCAAGGAGGGATGGACGAAGGGAATGGGAATGTTAAAATTCTCTTGTTTTGGAGGCTTTTTTTTAAAAAAGTCATGAACATATTTAAACCTTATTTTGTTTTTGGAATGATTGAACGAACGAGCTGACTGGTCCGATGCTAATCCATTCCCATTAGGATTCTCATTATGTTGATTTCTTTTGAAAGCCACCATAACTTGTTAAGTTTCCATGGCTAGAAATGCTCTTACTTGCATGAATAATTATGAAAAGCAGTGTAAGAGGATAAATTATTCTGTGTGGACGCCGAACGCTGTCCGGAGATCAACCAGAATACGTCACGTCACCCCTTCACTTTGTACCATGGCTCGGTATTGCTCGGTACCGTTGACGTGGCTGCATTTGATTCGTCTCCGGACGTAGAGCTGTCTCCGGCCTCCGCTCAGAATAGTTTCTCCATGGTTGAAATTGTGAAATGCAATGTCATGCAATACTAGCAATGGACATGTATAATGCACCTACAACGCCCATTTCATTTTTTAATTTGCAATAAATACAATCTGCATTATCCAACTAACACTTGATTTTTACATTCATAAATTCTACAGCATGGGCTTCATTAGAAATCCCGTGGCATTTCTTTCAGTTCTTGAAGCTGTTATAAAGAGCACAAGTTACAGATTTATCCTTTTCTCAGCAGGATATGAGCCATTAGATGCTGCCATACGTTTATTTTCTGGCACCTCACCAAGTTCAGAGAATCTATCCAATCCAAATTGTGGGAAAGATTGCAGACTTATTTTTAGTGATAGGCTCCTTTGTTTTTCTGGGTAAGCACCTTTTAGGCTTTGTTTGGGACGGTTTTTTACTGCTTCTTGAAGTAAAATTTTTATACTAAAAAGCTGCTTTAAGAAGCATAAAGAAAGCCGTCCCAAACGAAGCTTTAATCTTCCATGCAGGGCATTATCAAGTTCTATTTTACAAATCTGATGATGACCTGAGACTTTTTTGTTGTTTTATTTGATTAAAAATAAACAGAACCGCTCCATACATCTGGCTGTTCCCAAGGTGTGCAGCTGTAGTTCATCATGGAGGCAGGTGCTGTTCTATTTCAGCTAAATCTTTTTTTTTTTTATCACTTTCAATATTTTAACAAGAAAACTTATGGAATTGGTCACAGCGGAACCACTGCTGCAGCACTTCATGCTGGTGTTCCCCAGGTTGTCTTCTACTAACTACAAAGTACCCTTTCATTTTTACTTTTGTAATAGAATTTTCCAAAACATGGATGGCATGAAAATAAAATATAATTTTGCATTTTAACTGCTGATCTTCCAACCATGCATGGGACAGCCAAGCAGGGAATGATGATAAGTCTTCTTGCTTTAATTTTGAATTCTTCCTTTACGACTCTATTGAAAATGCCTCCAATCTTTCATGGGGCCGGCCATCAAAGTCTTTAAAATGCATTCATCATTAGTTTTGACCTATAATTTTTACCTTTGGAATCAGTTTTGAATGCATTAAATGAACTTGACCACAAATTTTGATTCATCAAGAAAAAAATTTAGATGAGAAAATCAATCCAAACAGGCTATAGTTTGGGTCTATCAAAGATCAACCCAATTAAAGTATGACAAACTTATCATTTGCATCTTTGACCTTCATCTAAGTGATAGTTATTATTCTTAAAATTATAATCAATTCATAAATATTGCGAACCTTAGTACTTTCATTTTTATTTAATTCTATTTTCTTGAAATATGAAAGTTCGTTTCATGTTTCATGTCTTAAATTTAGGCTTGGGGATTGCATTTAGGGATAAAAATCATTTTTATGCATTCTTATCTATTCTAATTATTTATTTAAATTTTGTTATCCCTTTTGTACGTCAATAAATAGGAAATTAAGATGGGTTTTATCATCAGTTAGTTTTGGGCTGAATCAAAATTTCAATTTCAATACTCCTTCAATTTCTCTAGCAATGGATCTTTCCTATCCCCATACTATCACACCGGGGTCCGGTTGCCGGGGACACGATTAAGGGATAAAAAGACATGTTTTGAGCATGCATATACAAGAGATATAACATTATATATATATATATATATATATATATATACCAATTCATTAATAGAAGATCAAATAATCAATGCATCAAAATAACAATAGTTTCTGATACAAGTCAAAATGAATATAAATAGAACAAAAAGTAGAAAAGAAACTACCCATTCCTCATAATCAAAAAGCATAATCAATTGCTACAAAATAATAAATACCAAAGCAATCTATTGCTGGTGACCCTGCTCCTGAGGTGGCAGTCCACCAAACACATTTGCAGGACCTGCTGAAAAAGACAACAGGTGTTCATCAAATTACTCCTATATATCAAAATATAAATGGAAAAATAGTGGGTCATGTAGTATGAACAGCCAAATGAGGAGAGTAGTAACCTATAATCACTAAATAAATAAATAAAACAACCATGAGATATGCTATGTTTCTACAACATAATCTAATATGCATGTATATATGCCAATTAGCTATTGATGTCAAATCATTTCAATGTTCTCAAATGCACCACAATAGGTATCCTTGAACCTCACAATGACCTGTAAGTCATTTATTATTTTCAATTCATATTCACTTATATTTTCTTACATTAATGCATATATATCTATTATAGGTTTATCATATACCCGTCATCTGGAAGGTAAACTCTAACCTAAGGAAATCTAATGATTTTTTGTCGAGTTGTTACTCTGGGAGTCCGTCGACTCTAACTAGCCAAAAACCAATATGGTTTTACCGATATACTCACAATTATTTATTACAAGTTCTTTTACGAATAACTCACATTAATTATCTACATCAACATGCAAATAATAAAGTTTATAACCAAAAAGATTTAAAATATACAAAATTGACATAAAGGAGGTTATGCATCAATAAATCAAAAGATTTTATTTATGAGCTTGCTAATTTATTATGAGCATATGAATAAAATGAAAGGATTTGCAATATTAGGATTGACAATTTAAATAATTTATAAAAGAATATAAATAGCACATGTTACACCTCTTTTAAGGAAGGGTACGTTTACACTAAAATAAATAATAATTACTTACTTTTAGGCGAGCGACACGAAACTCCAAGCTTATACGATAATCAACCGACAAGGGCAATAACTCGAAGGTCCTACAAGCAAGAACAAAGCAATTATAACCACACCTTTGGAAACATTCCTGCTAAATGACCTTAGCTACCATGTTTTAGCATTAACATTAACTATCGCAAAGATTACTATTAACCTTATAATTATTCTAATTAGATTAAGCCGATAACAAGTTAAAAGTTTCCTCACTAAAAGTAATTAATAAAGTAATATTTATGAGGCAATGAAAAGATCAAGACTATATAATTTAATCTACTTGAATCATTAATCACAAATAAGGATTTCTTTCATACAAGCTAAAATCCAAAAACTAGAAATTCTAGGCTATAAAAAAATCAATATGAATCAAAACTTGATTCTCATTATAAACAAAAAAATTATTTAATACGGTGACTAAAACTATAAGAAGAAGAAAGAGAGGAGAGGAAAATGAGCTTACTATAGAATAAGAGGAGATTGGGATATGTTTGCCAAAGGCTGTGCTCGGGAGGAGAAGTTGTTGCCAAAGAAGAAGTAGGAGAGGGGAGGAGAAGTTGTTGCCAAAGAAGAAGTAGGAGAGGGTGCTCGACGGCTATTGTTTGCAAGAGAAACAAAAAGGAAGGATATGGGAGGTCTGGCAGCTGCTGCAAGAGGGAGAAGGGAAATTCGATGCCTTAAGTTTTCTTTGTTTCCTTAAATGGCGAGAGAGAGCATGGAGTGGGAGAATTGAAAGCAGTGGCGGGATTGCGAAATTATCGCGATTGCACAGGAGGGGAAAGAGGCTTGCGAGCAGGCGACTGATTGCATGCGATTTGTTGCGATCCGGGCGAAGGAGAGGGAGGGGTCAGTCTGGGGCGTGAGATTTGGAGATAGAAATACCTGGACCAGTCCATGCTTTTAAATATTACACATGCAGACCTAGTTCCTACTACAATAACAGCACCTGAACTCCCTCCTGCCATACTAGTCCTTGCCAACAGTAACAGTGTGGTAGATTTTGTTGCCAGCAAGCGCCAATTCCCTTCATCACAGTAGTAGTAGTTGTAGTTTTACTTCTACGAAACAAATACTTTAAAATCCAACTTCTTAAACATTTAACACTATTATCACGATCATAAAGATATTAATTGATGGGGACATCAGATTTCGACACGTGTATCATCGCCGGCGACGCAGATCGACGGCTACGATCCAGAGCCTCTATTTCTGATTTATTTACAGCTTATTTCATATGTACTTTTAGTTTTCCGAGTTTGCCCCTGAGGGCATTGTTTTGCTTATGTAGCCCCGAGGGTATTTCTGTCTTTTCATTTTTTTTAAATAATTTTTGGACCTCCTTATATGAGGCATCATGTATTGGAATGAGTTAGTTTTGATGAAATGAAATTTGATCATTGTTCTCTTTATGAGTTCCTCCCTCCAAGATCTCTTAGTGAGTTCGCCGGAGAAGACTAGATCTCTTTGTGAGTTCTAGTTTCGTATTAGCCAATCTTGTGGAAATTCAAATTGATTATAATTGAGGTTAGTAATTTCATGGTCGCTCGAATCCCTTGAATTTTCCCTCTCTTCCCCTCCCTTGCTTTTGCCGCCGCCTAGCCTTGACCTGCTCAAGCCGCCGGCCACCTTGGCTGCCTTCTCCCGTCGGCCACCCCACTCTCCAGACTTTTGGCCGCCGGCCCAGTGTCCTCCTTAGCCACCACCCCCTCCTCCAATCCCCAACTCCACAGCTGACAGCCCCCACCGTGAGCCCAGCCCACTGAAATTTTTTCTGCAGCCCTTGCCGCCGGCTCTCCCTGTTTGCCCAGCCCGTGAATTTCAAACGTCTGAGGATTGATTAATTGCCTAATTAATAATCCATATTATGGCAGGCAATTAATAGCATTTGATTATATTTGAAATTCAAACTCCTATTTCCCTCTCATTTAAATCAATTTTGGGCAGTTACTTAAACCTAAATAAAATCTGAAATTAATATTTTAGAATTAATTGCGGAATTATTTATTCAAACGTGGGCCCCACCTTCCAAATTCCATAATCTCTCTCCTTGCTATATGGCCGGCCACCCTTGCCTATTAATTCTCCTTTCAATTATATTAATTGCTTCCCATTAAAACCTCTAATCCCTCATTAACCGTTGGCACTTCATTTGGAAACTATTTTGATTTTCAAATTGGCTTTCCCACCCCACGTCTCCTCCCTAAATCAAATTTCAAAAAATCTGAAATTGCCTTGGTCTGAGGCTTGTTTCTCCTACCCGAGCTCCTCCTTGGCGTTGGCTGGATTTCTCCCACCCAAGCCATTCCTCCAACTACAGCAACCTGACGTTATTTCATATTTGGTGACCTCTTGCTTCTCCTCCCAGCATGTTCCATCAGCTCCCGGCAAGAACGCATGGAGGAACCCGAGTGGAACTTCGGGTTTGAGTACGACAACCAAGGAAGAGTTGACATCCTCAAATCACCCTTCTTCGACGTTGGCTTTGATTTCAACGACACCGTCGAAGAATACTTGGATCGGATCTTACCAACACTAGTGGATTCCATTGACGACCACTTCTCCGTCTACACGTGGATCATTGACGGCCGTCCACCCTCTCCTCCGAAACCGGCTTCTTTCCCGGCGACAAGTCCTCTCAAGATCACTTTCCTATTAGTGGCATCGCTAAGTCTACTTACCGTTCTCTTCCGCTAGCCACCACTTTCAATATGAGTGACGGATCTCAAGGTGAAGGATCTAGATATTAAATTTGAGGCTTTTGATTATTTCGAGCTATTTGTATTAGTTGAATTTTGGTGTTATTTTGTGAGGCTCCTCAACTGTCTACATGTAATTTATTGTCATTGCTTAATCTATCTATGTCTTACTCTTAAACTCAACTTGAGTAAACAAAGAGTTTTGGTAGCAAGCTAAAGGTCATTGCTTCTATTAATTTCTTAAGTGCAATTCGTGATTCACCGCATGTTGTTTCACATTATTAATGATACTTTCAACTCTTTTTAACTTATGTCATCTATTTATATTTTCTCAAATCCCCCCATTTTTCTTCTTTTGTTAGATCCTCTGTCCTTTCATACTAGATCAGTTTTATTGGGCTGAGAGATTATGTTGGTTGGGAGTTGCACCAGAGCCATTAGAGAGACAAAATCTTGTTCCAGATAACAATGATGCCACAAGCGTCAAGAAAGCTGCAGATAAGTTAACCAAGGCTATAAATTTGGCCTTATCTTCCACAATGAAGGAGCAAGCACTGAAGATTGCTGAAAGTTTATCAGTTGAGGTTTGTTTATACAGTATTGTTAACAAGCCTTCCTTTTTGTGAATAATTAAAACTGGAGTTTTGACTTAACTGATTATATAATTGCCTGTTGTATTAGGATGGTGTTGCAGAGGCTCTCAGGATCCTCAGGGAACAGGTGATTAATCCGGCTAGAGATGGAATAATCTGTCATAATCAAGGTATGGAAGTTAAAATTCTGCTAAGAACTGTAATTTTTATATATTTGAGTATTTTTCGGTAAAAAAAATGTTGAGCAGTTTAAATGAGAATATTAAAGTATATGTGTTGCAAATTAGGAAATGATTATATAAGAGGGATGGATGGAGTGACATCCATGGATGATAAGATAGGTGAACATAGTCTTAAATGGTTTGGACATGTACAATGAAGATTAGAAATTGCATTTGGATATAGTAATAAACATAATATAGAAAGATTTTGAGGAAAAAAGAGTAGACTTTAGATAACATCAATAAAAGTTGTTCAAATTGATCTTATGATGAATAGGCTTAAACTGTTAAACAACACCCAACACTAGAAAATAAAAAATAATGATTCCTAATGCCAAAAGCCCAAATAGTTGGGATATTATTAATGTTGATGATGCACAAAAAGAAGAATGGAGAATGAGGTTCATATGACTAACCTCATATAATTAGAGTAAGGCTAATAATGATGGTAATTTTGATTATGTGTTTGTAATTTCGACAACATTTCTTTGTACGTATCTTTCATTTGCCACTCATAATTATAGTCACCTCTAATCCCTTCTCCTCCTCTTATTCATCGCCATCTTCACTCGCTTTACGATCTATGTATGAGTAGCATGCTTCTAGGGTTTTGTCTTCATATGCCAGTCTTTTTCTTCTTATGGTTTGAGTTCGAGGTCTCTTAATCACAAATCAACGTATGTTTATTGAATATTAAAACATCATGCTTAATTAAAAAATGAGCTTAAGCTAAACTATAATTAAATACTTTTCTTAGTTTAATGTTAACTTACATTAATTTATTTTTTCATCAGCCAAACTGCTCAACTCTACTTAGGCTTTGTTTGGGACGGCTTTTATATTGTTTATTAAAGCAATTTTTTAGTACAAAATTTTTAATAAGAAGCAGGAAGAAAGCCATCCCAAACGAAGCTTTAATCTTGCCGTTTGAAGCCCCCAACCAAACATGTCCCAAGTTCAAAGAAGCAATTAAGCCTATTAAGTCTAAGAATAAGAAGATTTTTTTTTCTGGTTAAATATTATTTTTTATTCAAAAAATGAGGTAGAGGGCTTATAGTAATTTGTGCTTGACTAAACTAAAGCTTTGATATTCAAATTTGATCTGGACTAATGTTATATATACACTATGTAAGCAAGCCAATGGTTTATTTCATAATGAATTTGGTCTGTCCATTCACAAGCATCATCATATCATGTCAGCTAGCTCAAAGTCACCTAATCTTTTGATTAGGTAGATCAACAAAAGCTCTCCCAAAGTAAAAAAAATTGGATGTTCTCTCAATTGATTAGGCTCTAATGATTTTTTTCTATGTAGATTTCTTTGGAGGGTGCTCCAACTAAAGTTTTCTATTCATAGCCAGCATTTATTTTTTTGGTGAAAAGATTGAGCACCAATGTATAAATTTGACAATAATTTTGAAGATTTTTGCAAACTTGACACCAAAAATATTTATTCATAATCATGATAAAATTTAATGAAATGATATTTTTCATGTTTAGGGGGGCCTAAATGCAGTGAAAGTCTGACAAAGCAATGAACATTTCAAAGCAACTGCTGGAGATATATATGATGTAAGAGATGTTGATGCTTGTATTTAACTGAAGTGTCGGTTGTATGTTTATTGCTTTTTGAATGATTTAGGTCTCGTTTGGGACGTCTTTCTTACTACTTTTTAAAGCAATTTTTTAGTAAACGAAGTCTTAATTTGAACTCATAGGCTCCGTTCGGAATAGCTTTTTTAGTACTTTCTAAAATAGCTTTTTAGTAAGAAAAATTTTAAAACTAGAAAATTTTGAATTAAAAAGTTATTTTAGAAAACAGTAAGAAAGCTGTCTTAAACGAAATCTTAATTTCTGAAGTAATAAAGTTGAAGTTGTGTCGAAGATTTTGATGCTTTCATTTTTCATAGAAGAAAATTTCATTCAGAAAATTTTTTCTTTTTTCTTATGCTTCCATGTAAGAAATAAAGATTTATCTGTGATTTTCTTTCTGCTTTCTGAATTTTCATTTTTAATTTCCTGCAATTTATGTAAATATATTTCTTTGGTTTTCTGGTTAGAACAAAGGCATACTCTGTATAAAATTTACTATTTTCACCTCCATTTTAAAAAATTTGCATCTAAACATTAAAATTCATCATAAAATTACATATCATATATTTAATTTTTATCAAAACTTTTATGATTTGATTGTGCTATATTCAAGTATATAAATTTGATTGTGAAGAACAATAATTAGATCATTTATTTTAAAAATAAGAATATGTTGATATGATTTGCATAAATATTTCTATATAATTATAAATTATTTGTGATTTTATGAAAGCTGACAAATTAATTTATGCTTTATTTGAGATAGTTTTATTATTATTTTCTAAAGTAATTTTTTAGTATAAAATTTATTGAATAAAAAATTTTTGTATTAAAAAGTTATAAGAAAATTGTCTCAAATGAAATTATAATGATGAGCTATGATTATGTTTGGTTAACATAAATATCTCTATATAATACTTTTTTGTTATTATTATCATGTTTTAAACTGTTGATTGTGTGTAGAATCTTCTAGAATAATAATTGGGGTGGAAAATATGATGAATTTGTGCTGAGTCAAATTAGAATAAATTTTAAAATTAATAAATTCTGGCTGATTTGTACTTTTTATAAAGTAATTATTATTATTTATTTCTGAGTTTATGGAATAAATTTTATTTTATTAGAAAAAGTCAGATATATAAATTTATTTATTTATTTTATTTTAATAGATAGAAGTTATAAGAGTCATTAGAAATTTTTATGTGAAATTTTTAAAAATGAAAAAAAAAATTTATGAGTTTAAAATTAGTTGGAATATTCGACTATATAATTCAAGATACAACAATATCTTCTTTCTTAAATTGATAAAGACATGATTATATAATTGAGAATAATTGTCATATTATTGTTATAGGGATTATAGAAGAATTGATAGAGAGCAAAAATGATTATATAATGTTAGTAAGCATAAAAAATGTAACATAAATCAGGTGCCCATTATTGAATAGATGAAGTCAAATGATAGGGGGTTGATACGTCACAAAAAATCGTCTTGATCGTGCACGAATCTTGAGGCATATTCAAGTTGGAAATTTTTAAAATTAAATTCAAGACCATTTGAACTCCATTTTTAGCAAACTTATAGTCAAGCTGAACATCTCAAAGAGACGAACCAAACGACACCAAAATCAGTCCAATGCGAGCCTAAATGGGTCCAAATCAGAGGCCCGAAGTTTATTGGGAAAGTTCAAAGGCTTAATTGGATGATAAAATGATATCCAAATATGTTATGCTTATAGTCCAATCGAGTGGCTCGACAAGGTGAATCGAATGAGTCTAAGATCGCTGAATTCCGACATCATTAAGACACTTAAACACTTGAAAAATGTTCTACGATCGGGGGATCAATATGGGCAGTCCGATTGAGCACTCTAAATCTTCCCTAGATTTTCTCCATATTTATGAGGCATTCCACTCTAAAAAAAACTATAAAAAAACCCCATTTTCTCTCATGAAATGGGCTTGGGGTTGGAGGATTGGATCATTGGCTACATATTGGAGAGAACTCTTAGGCTTTAAGAGCTTCAACACCACCGTCGGCGAACCTGACCTTTGTCAGACTACTGCATGGTCGTCGAACCTCCACCCAGTTGTCGAAAGCCGCCGAACTTCCTTCCACAATCGTCGAACTACCACCTTACCATCGACCACCGTTAGAATTCCTCCTAACCATCTTTGGACCTCTGCCGGACCACCACCAATCGCCGACTACGATCCTTTGCCGGCCGACTACGGTCCCTTTGACCTCCATCGCCCAATCCCTCCAACCTCATTTGCCCGCCGACTACGATACCTCTAACCATTGTTGCCTTCTAACTATGGTCCTTACGTCCACCATCGCTCGCCAACTATATTCCCTCCGACCTCTTGTTGATCACCGACTAGGTCCTCTTACCAATGTCTCCCGTTGACTACAGTCACTGTGACATCCACCACCTGCCGACTACGATCCCTCCGGCCTACGTCGGCAGCAGACTACGGTCCCTTTGACCGCCATCGTCCGTCGACTATGGTCCCTCCGACCTCCCATCAATCGCCAACTGAGGTCTCTCTTAACACTGTTGCCTATTGATTACAGTCCTTGTAGCCTCTGTCGCATGCCGACTACAGTCACTTGGACCACCATCGCCCGTTGACTATGGTCCCTCCGACCAACATTGCCCACTAACTACGGTCCCTCGGACCACCATAGCCCATTGAGTACGGTCTGTCTAATCACTGTCGTCTGCAAACTACGATCCCTCCGACCACAGTTGTCCGACTACGATCTTGCTGGCTAAATGAACAGGCCCACACTCTCTTGAGAACAATTCTCATATCATTAGATTCTTCCAACTACCACCTTGTAATGTTCTATATATGATGTATATTTACTACATTAAGCCAAAACCTTCCCTCCATGAAAGGGCCTCATTTGTAATCAACAATAAACACTAGTGGAACCATTTCAACAAGGTCAACCTCGTGGTTTTTCCTCTTTTTAGGATTTTTCATGTAAAAATCTTAGTGTCTCTTATGACTCTCTCACGTCTCTCTCTTTATTTGTATGTGTGTAAGATCTTTGTTCAAAACTAAGACATTAAGCCATTTCTCTCTACCATTGCGAATGTTCCAGTCCACAATAGGGTTAATGTTAGCAGTTAGGTGAATGTGATCATGGTTATTGATTGTGATAATTAATGACAATTATCAAATAAAATAATCAAATTCTTCAACTTTCTAAGCTCCCAAATTCCCTTTATGTAGAAAATATAATCTCATTTATAGCTTTTTTAGATGTTTTTTCCTTAAAATTAGGTTAGAATAAGGAAAAAAAACACTATATCGAAATGATCTATATTGATCCCTTTAATCATATATCATTTATTAAGTATTTGAGTGCTTTGATAACTCTTAATTGAATGACATTGAGTTCATGGGATTAGTATTGTCGAGCTGCTCGATTTGATCATAAACAAGATGATTTTAGTTATCATTGAGTTATAATGCCTCGAAGTCCTTATAAATACTTTAAATGTTTGATTTGGATTCATTTTGACTCATATTAGTTCACTTTTTGTGTCATTGAGTTAGTCTAGTTGAAGCATTCAGTTTTATTATAAATTTGTTACAAATCAAATTTAAATTATTAAAAATTTATTTTTGAAAATTTTCAAATGAAATATTATCTTAAGATTCATGTTGATTAAGTTAATTTTCTAAAGAAATTATATTTTAAGGGTTAAAAGCAATATTCAATAATGCAAATATTGTCTTTAAGACATTGTCTTAATAAAGTCAATGCAAATATATCACTCCTTTTAATTTGTTGGGAAAAAGTTTTTTTTACAAAGTAGAAAATAAATGAATTCAAAAATAAGTTATTTAATAAAAAGTAATCATTAGTAGGAATTTAATTTTTTAAAATTTTAAAATTAATCTATTATAAAATTTTAATGTGTAAAATTTATTTAAAATAAATTTAATAACTTCAAGTCATATTAATATAATTTATAAATTAATATTTCTGTATAGTTTTTTCCTAATTTATATAAATTTAGAAAATTAATTTAAAATAATATAAAATATTTGCATATTAATGCATTAAATAATTTATTCATTATTAAAAAATTTCCATCCAATTGCCTCTCTCTCTCTCTCTCTCTGTACGAGACTCGACCCGTTTCTATATATTTGGACTTTTCTCCCTCGAGCGTTTGCGTTCATTCTCCGCGGCTGACTCCGATCTCCCTTCTCCTCACTCGAATTTTCTCAATGGATTGCTTCTTCTGATCTTAGCCTCTCTTTTCTGTTACACTCAGCCGGAAGAAAGCGATGAGATTTATCTTGTTGTAGAGAAGAATCAGCGGTCACCGGTTTAACCCTAGGAAGATCCGAATTTGTCGCTAAAATTTGGTTGTCAGGTGAAGGGGCTTTTCCTGTCGCTCTATTCTTTGATTATTCTTGTTTATCAGTTGGATTTGTTTTGCTGCCTTTGCGGGGGATTGGCGACCGATTCGTTGGAATAGTACCTGTTTTGTGTTGAATGTCGAAACCCTCCTTCTGGCCTTGACCTGCTCATTAATATTCTTTAGGTTTAGCGTCGGTGGCAGGAGGGGTAGTTTTTTGGGCTGATTGTTGTGTATGTTATTAGTCGGGGAGTTGATTAGATTTTAACATCGATGCGGTGTGTTTAGTTATGTGTGGCTGGTGTTCATTCAATAAGGTGAATTTACTCCTTTTTTTTAGTGAATTATGTGTTCGGAGCCTTTCTGCAGTTATAATTGCGTGCGTGTGACCTTCAGGTCATTGAATTCGGCCGAATTTGTAGAATTTTGCATGGTTATTTGATTGTAGAGTGTGCAAGCTTTCTTATCAAATTTCGTTACTTAAATATTGTGACTTGTGAGAAGTATTTGTATGAATTGAAAAGAATGCTTCATTCTGTGGCATATGGCATTTTTATAGCACTACAAGTTTTTTTTTAAACATAGTTATAGCACTTTTATCTATTTGGATGTGCTGAAATTACGTCTTTCACCGTTTTTCTTCTTATTGGCATTTATTCTATGATGATAATTTAGGTTGTGAGAATGTCTACTCCATCAAGGAAAAGATTAATGAGGGACTTTAAACGATTGCAGCATGACCCACCTGCAGGCATCAGTGGTGCACCTCATGATAATAACATTATGCTCTGGAATGCTGTCATATTTGGGTATCCATGATTTTAATTTGTTGGTTGCTATTGTTTATGGTTTTGCAAATATAAAGCCTGAATTCTGATTTTTCTTGTGATTGTGCAGCCCCGATGACACCCCTTGGGATGGAGGTGAGGCAGTTGGTGTTCATTTAGTGATTTTATAAGAGAAGATTTAAAAGGAGGCTACTCTTTTTTGCTATATGAGTTTAGTTAATATGCTTTGGTTTTAGTTTTATTGTTGATGCTAGTTATTTCTATCACTATTTTCTTCTTTGTTTTTTTAAAAATTTAAAAATTTCCTTTTTTGAACTCACTGCTGCTTTTTTTTGCTTGAGTTTTATTACTGCTAGGTGACATCGCTTTATTTGATTTAAAAGTTTTGTTACCCACATGAATTTTAGGCTTTCTTCATGCCTTTGCACGTTGCTTCTTAAAGAATCAATTTGGTTTCAGGCTAGGAAGATTTACAATGGAAACAAATTTTGTGTTTAGACAATTGATGGTGAAGTATATAGAACAAAGAAAATATATTTATATGATTTTTATTGCTCTTGAGAAAGCATATAATCGAGTACCATAAGAATTTGTTTGGTATGCTTTAAGACATAAATTTGTGTCAAATATAAATTGTTATTATTAAAGATATGCATAGTGAAAAATTGATTAGTATTAGAAATAGGTGTGGATTGACCCAAGAGTTTTTAATTATAGTAGGGTTGCGTCAAAGATCGACATTAATTAAATATCTTTTTGTGTTGGTTATGTAGATGCTTAAAAAACATGTTTAAAGCAGGATTTCTTTGTGTATATGTTTTTTTGTGAGTGATATAGTTCTAATTAGTGAGGCATCAAGTGAATCATTATAACAATGTCAGAAATGTTCTGATGAATAAGCCTTAGAATTAGTTAATAGAAAATTAAGTATATGGTAAATATTATTTTAGTGGGTACGATGTTAATAATTATTTTTCAATATTATTAGAAGATAAGGTGTGATATAAATGTTTTTCTCATCAGCATGATACAATACTTCCATGTGAAATTTGCTATAAGTTCCCCTCAAATTTTATTTGTGACTACTCTATTTTAAGTGGCTCTGATTTTCAGGTACGTTCAAGCTGACACTTCAGTTTACAGAGGATTATCCAAATAAGCCACCAACTGTGCGGTTTGTTTCACGGATGTTCCATCCAAATAGTAAGTTGTCATTTGGAAAAGTTTCAGACAAAGCTTTGTATTTACATCTTGTATTATTTGTTGCTCCTTACTTTGGAAGTATGCTTTGTTAGTATCTAAGTATGATAATAGAAATATCTTTTATACATTGTGGCTGAAGTTGAATTTTGAGGGATTTTGTAGCAGTAGGTTTAACTATGCATTGTAATCCTATCTGTCATTACTTGATTGCATTTTTTTGTAGCATATATGATGATATTTATTTGCATATCATGAATAAAAAATCTTCCATATTAAGTGCTTGCAGTTTGTAGAGTTATATAAAGATAAATTGTGGCTTGCAAAGAGGAAATAAACGGGACTTTATAGTCTTATTGATGCTTTTTGATGTGATGATGCCTTCCTAGCATAGGCATGTATCCCATACTAGAATTATAAATTGATATGGAGTAGAATGATATATCACTGAAACTACATAGGTGTTTCAAGTGAGAACAGTGACAATTGTTTAGGCACATGCAAAAATAGAAGTAGCACCAATAATTTTACGAAGAGAAGGTGCTCTGTGCATTCTTTTTTTGGTTTTGGGGTTTATGAATACTATGATGCATTATAAAGGTTAGAGTGTATGGGTAAAAAGCATAGATAACAAATTATCATGGAAGTCTAATCTACAGTATGTTTTGATGAGATGAATGCTTCAGTAATGTTGCTAATGTTGGGCATTATAGTTAGAGATATATCTTTTATTTGTATGCTCCCGCAAGCTGTTTATGTTTGATTTTTTTTAAATGCAGCACATGCTTACGTATACATATCAGAATCGACAAGACCATTGCTAGCTGAGTCTGGCTTAGAAAGTTTCTTTATTTTCAATCTGGCATTGTTTTACTTATCATCCTAACAACATAAAATGTTAACTTGGATTCATGTTCACGTGCATTACCACAAATCTAGTAAGGAAACCATTCCACTCATGTCTTAGATTGATGACAGACAAGCCATATGCCTCGTATCTCTTCATATTGCTTGAGTCAACTACAAGACAAAAAGTTATGAACATAAGTAGCCTTTGAACATAACCCCAATGCTAGATTTTAACCTAAGTTGGTGATCCTGCTTCCAGCCCATGTTGAACTCCGTTCCAACCAAGACTTGCCTTCCTGCTTTAGATTAAAGTTGGCCCTCCCGCTTGCAACCATATGGGAGAAGTAACCTAATTCACCTTTTTTTTTTTACATTTACCAGTTCTATTAGATATGGGAGAAACCAAGTAACCTAATTCACCTTGTTTTATATTTCGAGCGGTCTTGAAATGATTTCAAGCAAGTCTCAATCTGGACATGAAATCTGTTTGAAATAATTTTTGAGCTCCATTCTAGGCCACCTTATCTCAACTTGAAATTGATCTACTATATCTAGATTTGACTAGAAGTTCATGTGAACTTGCCATGTTATTTTTTTAGGATTGAACATTTTTTTCCCCTTGATTAGAGTGGATTTTAGTTGATGAAGAAATGAGAATGTCTTTTTTTTGCCCACAGCATTGTGAGTTGGAATTGAAATGGCTTGTGGAATAGTTAATTTTATTGTCATTCTTGACCTTTTCTGCTTTGATGCCTCTTTTACCTTGATTTTTTTTTTTTGGTTTTTTTTTTGGGTTTCTGAAGTAACCTATGTTAGGACCTGATATGATGATTGTCAAAGCTGTTATATGGGCCTGCTGCTTTAACTAATAGATGGTATGTGCTGCTTGATAACTAAGCAGCACTAGGATGTGATAGTTTGAGCCAGTTGAGATGTTTACTAGGATGTGCTAATATGCTGTTGTTAATCGAGTTTGGCGTTGAAACTTTTGAGTTGAGATTTTGCATCGTAGTGTTAGTTTTATCTTTCTTTTGCTTTTATTTTCTTAATGTGACCAGTTCATACTATTTATCTTGAGAGGCCCTGGAATTGTTACCGATGATTTCTCATCATTGAGAGACTGATAGGACCTGTTAGATGATTTTGTAGAAAATTTCATTTCCAGCTAAGCTTCCAAAGTACTTGGATGCAGTATTTTATTTTATTTTTCAATATTTTTAAAAAAATTATTGTTGCTTGACAGTCATAGCTGCACTAGCTACCTTCTTCATAAGAATCCACTTGATTAATTTTCTGGGTTGCATTAGACATTACTTTCAGTGAAGCCCTTTTCTATGGAAGTTTAATATAGTAAAATCTGGAGATATAAATGAGCTGGCCAAGCCTAATGCTATCGTGTTTAAGCTATTGTTATTGTATTTTGTCTTTTTCCAAGCTGAGCCCAGCTTGAGCATGTCCTTTGTTTTAAAATCTTATTCAATCTTGGTTATATAATTGCTTTATCAAGTTAGAGGTGAAATTAACGTTTGATCCAACTTGAATAAATTTGTGATAGTAGATGCCGCAGTAAATGTACATAATTCTCAATTGTAAATTTTTCCGTAGTTGTTGAATGGTGATACGAATTTTGACCTTTTTTATGTTTTTGAAATGAAGTGGTAACTGAAAAAATTGATCAATCTTGTTCAAACATGATCATTATTTTCTCGTTAATCATATGCCAAATTGACGAGCTTGAATGTCTTTCTTTTTATTACTTATCTTTTATTTATTTACTTTTATTTTAGTTTGAGGTGGAATTGGATATCATCCGGATTGATTTAATTTATGTTAGTTGAAAATGGTGAATATGACATCATATTTGAACATTAAATTTATTTGATGTTTTTCTTAAGAATTTTAACAGTGCATTTGTATAATGTATTTGGAATTTATAAATTTATAGAAATACAGAACATGGTTAAATTGTCCTAGATAATGTTTTATTTAATATGAGCGACGATTCTTTTCATACCCATACGAATTTGTCTTTTTTATAAGTGCATGAGAGAAAAACAAGCTTGATAAAAAAAATATGAAGTGCATCTTTAATGTACTATTAAACATCAACATATGATTTAGTCTTTATCTTTTTATTGAATAACAAACAAGCATGCTAACCATCCTAAATGGACAATTTGACGGTTGTTGTTTGTTAATTTAACAAAAATGAGCATTCAGTGGCTCTGAGCATGAAATATGAATCTACTTTTGTCAAAAACACAAGTTACACCCCTCAATATCTTCTTAATTATAAAAAATCTTCATTAGAAAATTGGAGTGATGCTTTCCTTCCAAACCGTTTCCACTTTTGTGATTAGCAAAATCCTCAATTCTCCGCTGGTTGGCGAAGAAAGATATATATGATCTGATAACAATTTAAATACCTTGTAAAAGCAAGGTTGTACGAAAGCAACACTCTACCTCCATGAAAGAAACAAAAACAACAATATCAAGCCTTTATCCCACTACGTGGGGTTGGCTATATGAATTTTTTTTCTCCATTGTGTCCTATTAAGAGTGAAATTCTCATTTAAATCTAATAAAAAATGTCATTTCTAATATTTCATAACCTAGTATTTTTAGGTCAACCTCTACCCTTTTTAACATTAATCAAATCTAATACATCTACTCTCATAAATGAGTCATCAAAAGGTCAATGTTTTATGTTAACAAACCATCTAAGATGACTCTCTCAAATCATATCTACTGTTGGAGTTACTCTAATCTTTTCACGTATATGTATGCATCGCATTTTTTCTCTAAGAGTAAAGTCACTCATCCACCTGAGCATCTTTATCTTTGCAACACTCAACTTAATTTTATACTTCTCTTTTAATAGCAAACATTTTGCTCTATAAAACATTGCAGTTGTCACTATCATCTTATAAAATTCTCTCTTAAGTTTGAGGGGTTCTTTTCTATCACAAAACAGGCCCAATGCATTCCTCCGCTTCAATCATCCAACTTGAATTCTATTAATAATATCCCCATCTATTCACCATCGCTTTAGATAATAAACCTGAGATATCTAAAACATGTTCTCTTATTAATGACTTGATCGCACAATCCCCCACTAGATCTATTACTACTTAAATTTCCCTAAAGATGAAAAAAAAAAACCTAGCAATGGCCACCACCAATTTTCTAAATTGTGATTTAGCTGGAGTTTTTTGATAATTCATGTTCTTTTGGATGGAATAATCACTCTGCTAGTGTATTGAATTCGTATAAACTTATCAGATTAGTTGATAATCTAACTTCAATGTGCTAAAATATAGTTGCTTGATTTGAAGGGATACCCGCTACTTGACCTCTGTACCATTCAATTGGAAAAAATACTTCTTATGTGGCTAGGTTATATCGATGACCTCAGGGCCTCAGGCTGCTGCTAATATCTGAACATTTTTTTTTCTTGGATAATGGAATAAAATAAATGGAAGCCTTTAAAAAACTAATGCATTCGTGTGTTTTTTTTAATGAATAGTTTTTAACTTGCAATTATATTTCTGGATCATAACAAAGATTTTTGTTTTTGACCAATTTATTTCCACCCCCGCCCCCCTCCCCCCCCCCCCCCCCACCTCTCTCTCTCTCTCTCTCTCTCTCCAATCATTCCTAATGATTGCAGTTTTCTCTAAGCAATTCTATTTTGTATTCAGGCTAATATGTTATCTACTGTGTTTGTATTTGACAGTTTGGTCCCACTAATATCTGTATTTTTTTATTTTGATAGTTTATGCAGACGGAAGTATTTGTTTGGATATTTTGCAGAATCAGTGGAGCCCAATATATGATGTAGCAGCGATTCTTACATCAATACAGGTACTTTTAAATGATTAAATATATTTCTTTCTCAAAATAATTTGTTTTGTATTATTTCATTGAAAGTGGTTGTTTTAATACTCGAGCATTCATGTGTGCGTCTTATTGCAAATGAATTTTATTCATGTTTCAGGCATATAGTAATTTTTTTTTTCAATTTGTACTGTCGTTTTAGTGCCACTCTATTTTTCTTTCACTCATTTCTCTTTCATACTTTGATCCAAAAGAACAAGGTAAAGTTGACTGAAGAAGATGCATAGATGTAAGGTTTTTAGCTCTTTAGATGAGACTCCTTTTAATATTTTGAGATTTATTGGAGGATATTGCAATAATTCAGTTAATAAAAATTTCTAGAATATTAACAACTAAAAGGATGCAAATAATTGGAGAGGGCACTAAGATTTAAGTACAAAAATGATATTCAACATTGTGCCAGAGGAAGCAAACTTATTAGTTACCCAATGAATCTATTGTAGAGTAATAAGTTAGAAAATGACATCAATTTTTTAAGGATCCCATTTTGTTTCATGCCAAAAAAATTACTCAGAAAGCAATTTTTGTGCGTTATCAAGTGAATTGATTTTGCATGCATTAAAGTATAATTATCAACTTAGCCTTGTATCAAAGGTATGAAGTATTGATTAATATTAATAGTTATGTTTTAGGCATAAGTTCACATTAGGGATCAACATTGAGTCTATCATTTATATTTATTATAGAGATACAAAATGTATTCAAAACAAGGTGTTTTGGTGTATATGCTTTGGGTAATAATATTTTCTAAATGATGAGAAATCTAACTAAACAATTGAAAAATGAAAATACCGGAGGAAATGTTTATAGCGTGACTTAAAATTACTATAGCTAAAACATGAATATATGATACAAAATTTTAGTGGTATGATGTTAATAACTATAATTAATTTTACTGGAATATAATGTGATACATAGATGTTATAGGTTTAAGTATCTTGGATTTATTACATTAAAGAATGAATATATTATGAGGATAAAACATTTGGAGTTAATTTTGGATGGGTTTTGTGCAACATGAACGTTCAAAGATCAATTTTGTACAACCGCAATTATGTTGAAGATCTTATATAGACCTGAATATTGGATTGTTAAAAAATCTTTCATACCAAGTTGAGTGTGACAATAATAAGTGTGTTAAGATAAATGTGTAGCAAATTTAAGTTGGATAAATTAAGTAAGAATTATGTTAGAGAAATTATTGGATACTCCATTGAAAATAGAAGGGTTGAAAATAGACATGTTTGGACGTTTACATTGAAAGCTACAAAATGCTTGTGTTAGATGAGTGTATAAAGCTAATGTCAAAGGATTAGGAATTAAAATGTTAAAAATATAGTTTATGGATAGAAATTGTTCAAAATGATTTGTAAAGAATGAAAATGTAATTCTTCAAATGACATTTGACAGGAACAAATGAAAAATGAGGACTTGTAATGTCGAATCCCAATAGTTAGGAAAAGGATGAAATAGGCGCTAGCTTTACTATATTTGGATATTGGGCAATTTTTGTCTCGCCAGTGGTTTGTAGAGCTTTGTTTGTCCTACTCAGCACACACTGCATATTTTGTGGCCTGCGTCTTCTTCATCCCTTTGCAACCCTAATTGTATGGCAGTAGCATTGAGATGTGGTGCATAGATACAACAACAACAACATCAAGCCTTTATCCCACTACGTGGTGCATAGATAAATAATAATAATAATAATAATAAATTAAAAAAAAAAAGTGGTGCATAGATGTTAGTTTGGCTTATGGACTACTTACCAGATTGTTTAGTTCGTTTGATACAAAACCTTCTTATCTACACATTAAAAACCACTTGGCATATTGGGTTTCCTGGCCGCAATATTGAAATTGCGATCCATTATTCTCTTTTTATGTTGCACCATTTGATTTTCTTTAGAATCTGCTAAGCGGTATAGGATTTTGCATCATGGGATAGATACCTTTCATTGTCTGTGGGCCTCCCCTGTGGTTGAGACGAGGTACAAGTTTATTTTTTTTCTTGAGAAGGTAGGGGTGTCAATTTTGGGTCACGGGTCGGGTTCGGGTCAAACCTGAAATTGATCCAACACTATTCAGGTCAACCTGAACCCGACCTATTTTTGCAAACTGGTCGGTTTTCCTGACCTGAACTTGACCCGCTTCGGTCCCGGGTCTATCGGACATGACCGGAATGACTTAAAAATGCTAGGTTTCAGGTCAAAAAATAAGTCAATCTCTGATTTTCGGGTAAAAACGGGTCATTCTCGGGTTTCCCAATAAAAAAAAGGATCAATTTCGGGTTTCTAGGTCAACCTGAATCCAACCCGGTTTTTGAAACGCGCCGATTTGTTGAATCCAAACTCGACCCATTTCGGGTTTGGGTTGACCATAACTTAGAATTTTCAGGTCGGATTCGTATCGGGTTTTCGGGTCGTGTCAAATATTGACACCCCTAAGAGAAGTTTTATTTCTTACCCAAGGCAGAGCTTTTCTAGCTCTCCAATTTTAGTTGGCGTCGCTATTAAAGGATACTTTGTTTGTTGCATGTATTTGGAAGTGATTGGAGCTACAGGAGTTAATTTACTAAAAAAAAAAAAAAAACAAATTTTCAGGTCTATATAAGAACTTTACTCTATGTGATCCAAATCCTTTTAACCTAAATTCGTTCTTAATTTTGCAGTCATTGCTATGTGATCCAAATCCCAATTCACCTGCAAACTCAGAAGCAGCTCGTATGTTCAGTGAGAACAAGAGGGAGTACAACCGGAGAGTTAGGGAGATTGTTGAACAAAGCTGGACAGCAGATTGAAATATCACTACAACAAACCAAAAAAGAAGAAAGAAAAAAAAGCATATGGTTTGCTGCTTCATTCCCTCCTGTCATTTCCATCTAAAAAAAAACAAAACTTGTAGGTTTTATTTCCAGAATGAAATGATTGAACCTTATGAAATGCTTTGTATTCCAAAAACTGCTGCTACCTATAGTGTTTGTTATATTTGAACTCAGCTGCTCTGTATTTCTTTGCTTAAAAGAATCAATGATGCGCATCTTCTCTTTAGAAATTTGCCATTTCCTTCCCTTAACTGCATTACGAAAAATTATTCTGTTCGGACTCCGAACACCGTCCGGAGACCAATCAGAATGCGTCACGTCATCTTTCGCTCGGTATCAAGCACCGGTTTTCTGTACCACGACTTAGTACTGTTGACATAGCTGTACATGATTTACCTCTGGACGTAGAGTTGTGTCCGGCCTCCGCACATAATAATCTCTCTTGCATTAAAACTTAAGAAGTGTATTATGTTTCTAAATTTGAATCATTAAATATTTCCCTGTGATTCAATTATTTTGGTAAATTACTTCCTGTCAGCTCTGGTGCTACAAATAATTGTCATGTACATTGATTTAAAGTTCTTTCTTTATTCTTTATAGGTTCCCAAAAGCTATATTCTAAACCATAATATTTATGTTGCTTTTTTCTAAAATAATCTTTTGAAGTAAATTTTGAAAGAAAGTGAAAACAAGTTTCATAAAAAATTGCTATGAAATATGAATGCATAGTCAAATTTGATGAATATTAAGTTTATTATACTATTCTTTTTTTTTTTAATATATTATGTTTCTTTTAGACTCTGTTTCATTTTTACTCTTTTTTTTCAACAAAATAAACAATCTCTAAAAAGCTTCTCTAAACCAAAGTTTTTTCCTAATGTTCCTAATGAATATGGGTTAAAAAGGCCCCAAGAAATCTACCAAAATTCCACCATATAATAAGTATTCATTTTGGACGACTTTGTTCCTGCTTTCTTAAAGCAAAAGATAAAATTTTTATACTAAAAAGTTACTTTAAAAAGTAGCAAAAAAATGTCCCAAATGAAACTTAAAACTACTAATAAAAGAGAATTATCATAAGAATAATGAATACTGATCTTTCAATCAAACCAAACCTTCAGGAAGAGAATAAGAAATTGAAACATTATAATATACAACTGACTGAAGTATATAAGCAACATAAAAGAAAAATAAGTGCAAATAATGATATTTCAGTAGTACTTAAGCTGACAACTTTGTTACCAAAATAATGATATCTCCTTTGATATATAGGTTGAGTAACATAGCATCTCACTTATTGTATCATACAGCTTATTCAATAATTTACAAGCAGTTCATTTTCCAAAATGACTAAAGAATCACATATGCTCAAGCAATACCTATAAACAATATTCAGATCCAATCTAACAATGAGGAGCTACTAAGGCTTCGTTTGGACCGATTTTTTTATTGTTTTTTAAAAATTTTATATTAGGAAGTTGCTTTAAGAAGCAGTAAGAAAGCTGTCCCAAACGAAGCCTGTGTTTTTGTGACTTATAATCTGCAAATTGTTGAAACTTATAATCTGCAAATTGTTGAAGCATGGTTGGATTTGGATGAACTCTTCTGAGATGTATTTCTTTTTTGAGAAATTACTATAAGCAAATGAGGAAGATGCAGAAGATGAAACCAGCCAATCAGAAGCTGATATGTGGCATATATACACAATTGTGCACAGCTTTATAAAGACTCCTTAATGGCTGAAAAAGCCTTTCACACTTAATAATTAATGCCAGCATTCAGTAGTTTATTTCAGCTATTTCAAGTTTAGAACTGTCTGATTCATCAGATCCGGTTTCTGAAAATCTCTGAAAAGAGTAGCTATGTGCATAGGTTCTTTCAGAATGAAGCACTGGTTTATCAACCCTGTAAATAGTTGGGGAGTTGATTAAACCATCCATGTATTGTCAATATAAAGAAGATTTAAAAGTTAGGCTTCATTTGGGAGAGCTTTCTTATTGTTTTTTAAAGCAATTTTTTAATACAAAAATTTCTTGAACTGAAATTTTTTGTACTAGAAAGTTGTTTTACAAAGCATTAAGAAAGCTGTCCCAAACGAAGTCTTAGCAGTTAGAATTACCTGAAACTGTTATAAAACTGATTATCAAGATGTTCTGAATTTGGTACTGGAGGAACAGGCCATGGACTAGGTGCAGGTTGTTCATCAGGGAACTGCATTTGTGGATCTCCAAATGATCAAATTCCCTATTAGGAACAGCAGGTTTTGATTTTCAGCAGCAATAGCAAGATCGCATCATCATTTTGTACTTTTTCTTCTGATAGATTTCTTTGATCTCAGCAAGAAGTGCTGCAAAGAAGAGGCCGCCACTAATAACTCAAAAAAAAAAAAAAAAAACAATATTAGATCTTAACAAGCAAATTCTTCCTACATGGCCAAAAAATTACAGCCAAATACCTCAAGGACCTAGCTCATCAAATCTTATTGAGTAAAATTAATACTGAGTCATTTGTAATAGTAATATGCATAAATTTCAGACCATACCTTATTAAAGTTAGCACGGTAACTAGTCCATTCCTCTTGTTTCTGCTTCAGACGGTCCAATATGAGGGGCAAAGCAACACTAGCATTGTTTTTCAAAGCATCCATTACGTCCAAGCCATTATCACCATATACCCGTTCAATGCAGTTCAAATTTCGAGCTTTCAAAAAGTAAAGATTTCTCATAAGGAAAAATAATTAAGAAGAAAATATAATTAAGCATGCATGTAAAATGATTGTGATGAACACAAACCGGTTAAGTGATCCTCAATGCGAAACGGTGATTCTAATTTGTTGATATCATTATCATCCTGCATCTTTTTTATCAAATTCTGAACTTTCTCAACAGTTGTATTTGCCAACTCTACTAGCATATCCAGCTCATATCTGAACATTTATATCAAATATTATGAAATGGCAAAAACAATTTCATTAAACAAAATGTGGCACCAACAAAACAAGAACTAAAAAATAAATAAAAAAATACTTAAAAAATATTAAGGGAATAAAATTTGTCACCTATCATCTTCACATTTAAATAAGCTTTCCTCGTATTGACTTTTCCTCGATGGACTAGAAGAAGTTCCAGATCTTACTGAAACCCAAACATCATTTAGAACAGATTTGTCAAGTTCAGTTCTATGGCTAGAGACAGGTGCACGACACTGCCAGTCAACAACAATTTAAATAAAACCAAGTTAAAACAATTCATAGAGATTGTGATAGCTAAAAGCGAATAGAATAAATTGATATATAATACTAACATTTTCTGGCAATAGCCGATAACTAGGAGTACAACTTGGGCAGTTCGAGAGATCCAAGTCTTTGTAATCCATTATACTGGGGGATAAAGAAACTTTGTGATTAGCCACGTCTTTTGAGACATCTGGAGAACCTTGATTGATTTGCTTGTTTTCTCTATGTTTAACACTTTCAACGGTCATATTTGCATCCTTTTTTTCATGTTCCTTATCCATATCTCTATCCTGAATCTGAAAGATGGAGAGAAATGTCAGCAAAAATTTCATTTAATGGAACCAATTTAGGTTGGGACGATTAACACCAAAGTTTTTTCAGGAGATACCTTTTGCATGCAAGGTGGCTTCATAGTTCTGAACTTATCACGCCTAGCAAAACGTCTACCAGGTGATACAAGTTGAGCATTTGAGGTAGATGCATCAGGCAAAAAATGTAAAAATTCCATAAATAAATCTTCATGATTTTTAAAAAGCAATGCCACCTATAGAATAATACAACTGAGATCAGAAATACGTCAAACCATGAGTGCTATATGGCTAAAAAAACAAAAACAAATGATCACTACATACCTCCCGGCGAACCTCACTGCTTGATTTAGTATGATTCCTATACATTTCAAGAGTATTTAAGAATGATCTGTAAGTAAGTTGATCATTTTCAAATCGGCTCTGCAAGAAGGCGAGTGATTAGATTGAACCCAATAAAAGCACATTGAGGTAAATAATCTGAATCAGTAAACAACTTAGCCTATAGATTAGCACCTTAATTTTGCTCACGAAGTTGAAAGCTTCATGGAAATCAGCAGGCTTCTTTTCCTCGGGCTTCTTCTCCTCTGGAACCTTAATCTTGTAGCCATTAGGCAAAAATTTGCTGAAACCAAGGATCAAATCGCTATGCCCTTTAAAGAGTTCTTGCACCTTCATAATCACTTCATATGTATTAATCCTGCAACCAACATAAATCTGAGAAAACCAACCAAAAAACATTGATATGAATGCAAAAGCAACCACAAACATATTTATCGACTAAAAAACAAGACAAACTCAAAACCTCTGGCTCTTGAAACCCCTCATAACTTCGAGAAACTCATTGTACTTCTCCTTATTGTCCTTAAAAAAATCTTTAACGCACTTTAAATACGCCAAGGCATCACTGGTCGTTAACTGCTGCGCACTTGTATCCGTATCCGAAGCCATATGAGATTGCCCAAATCTTCACCAAAACTACGAAAATAAATGAATTAGAGCAGATCGAATGCAAAGACAAAACTTTCCTGCAGGAAATAATATCATTATAAGGTTCACCACAACAAAAACTTCACTTTCCCTCCCGCTCAATTCTTCATCTAAGAATATGTTTGGTAATTGGTAGAGAACTTAGTTAAATCTTACTCCGAATAATAAAAAAATTTCTACGGTATTATCAATCCCGATTTACCTCCGATTGCCCCAAATTTTAGATTTAGTAAGTCCTGTAGTTCTGCCGATTTAAGAGATTCAAACGAACTAATACTCGATCCCGTCGATACCTTCGCCAGCCAGCTCCCGTCGCGAATTCCTGCCTGCTTTTCTTTGAGGATTTCTGGTAGGAACAGAGGATTAAAAGAGAGGAGGATTTCGGACACGCCACTGGATCCCGTGGAAGCGTTCGCCAGCAAGCTCCCGTGGCAAATTCCGCGCTTCTTTTGCGTCGAGGATTAGGCGAAAGTGAAGACCGGGAATGGAGACGAGACGGTTATCAGGTGAGCACGCTGAGCCGCTGAGGTTAGGTTAGTTTATAAGGCAATTGCGCGTATTCATTTATTTGATAACTGAAATTTGATCTCATTACGTAGATTAATTAATATTAATTTTATTTAATTTCACTAAAGAGAAGTTATTCTTCAATTATCTTGGTACTTTATTAATTAATAATCAATACAGAAATGATTATGCTTAATTATAATTAAATTTATCTAATTAAGATCAATTTAGATTAAATTAGCATAACTAAAATATCATGAAGATCAACTCTATGGCTTCATATCCCTAATCCAGACCCTGCAATCCAGCTTCCCTAAGATCATCATTATCATCATATCATTACGCCTCCACAACTTTTTTATCACACCAATGATTTCAACAGGCCAAAGGAAGAGGATCTCAGTTGAAAGTTGCCTAGTTTAAATAAATGTTGGCGAGTATCTTATGAGCTTAGATGAGTCGGCTTAGTTAAGTATTAGGTCGAGTATGCTCCGGCAATTACTATGGCCTTGGCGAATTCGTCATCTCTATTTAGGGAATTTTTATTGGGTCAGGTAATCTGATGTAGTGATACATCAGGTACCCAATGAAAAAATGCCACATGCACTTATTATAAAATTTCCTCAGCTTTAAACAAAAAGCACTCAGCTTTAAACAAAAAGTAAGTGCATGTGGCATTTTTTTATTAGGTACCAGATGTATCTCTACATCAGGTTACCTGACCCAATAAAAATTCCTATTTAGGGGTGCAAACTAGTCGAGCCGAGCTCAAATTTGAGGGTGTTCGAGTCGAGCTCGTGTGTCAAATACTGAGCTCGAACTCGAGTCGAGCTCAAAAGTCAAGCTCGAGCTCGACTCAATAGAGGAAAGAAAATCTAGTCAAGTTGCTCAAGCTATATTCTAAACCATAATATTTATGTTGCTTTTTTCTAAAATAATCTTTTAAAGTAAATATTGAAAGAAAGTGAAAACAAGTTTATAAGAAATTACTATGAAATATGAATGCATAACAATAATGAATACTGATCCTTCAATCAAACCAAACCTTCAGGAAGAGAATAAGAAATTGAAACATTATAATATACAACTGACTGGAGTATATAGAAGACACAAAAGAAAACTAAGTACAAATAATGATATTTCATTAGTACTTAAGCTGACAACTTTGTTAACAAAATAATGATATTTCCTTTGATATATAGGTTGAGTAACATAGCATTTCACTTATTGTATCATACAGCTTATTCAATAATTTACAAGCAGTTCATTTTCCAAAATGACTAAAGAATCACATATGCTCAAGCAATAACTATAAACAATATTCAGATCCAGTATACAACAAATCTAACAATGAGGAGCTATAAGACTTCGTTTGAGACGACTTTTTATTGCTTTTTAAAACATCTTTCTATTATAAAAAAATAAAATTTTTATACTAGAAAACAACTTCAAGAATTAAGGAAATAAAGTAAATTGTTGAAGCATGGTTGGATTTGGATGAACTCTTCTGAGATGTCTTTCTTCTTTGAGAAATTACTGTAAGCAAATGAGGAAGATGCAGCAGATGCAACCAGACAATCAGAAGCTGATATGTGGCATATATACACAACTGTGCACAGGTTTATACAGACTCCTTATATGCTAAAAAAGCCTTTCACACTTGATAATTAATGCCAGCATTCAGTAGTTTATTTCAGCTATTTCAAGTTTAGAACTGTCTGATTCATCAGATCTGATTTCTGAAAATCTCTGAAAAGAATAGCTATGTGCATAGGTTCTTTGAGAATGAAGCACTGGTTTATCAACCCTGTAAATAGTTGGGGAGTTGATTAAACCATCCATGTATTGTCGATATACAGAAGATTTAAAAGTTAGGCTTCGTTTGGGAGAGCTTTCTTATTGCTTTTTAAAGCAATTTTTTAATACAAAAATTTCTTGAACTGAAATTTTTTTACTAGAAAGTTGATTTAAAAAGCATTAAGAAAGCTGTCCCAAATGAAGACTTAGCAGTTAGAATTACCTGAAACTGCTATAAAACTGATTATCAAGATGTTCTGAATTTGGGACTGGAGGAACAGGCCATGGACTAGGTGCAGGTTGTTCATCAGGGAAGTACCTTCTTCTAATCAACTGTAAATATGTTTCAACATATCGTGATTAGAATGTAGACAGTTTGAAGAACTAAAGAAGCACTAGTTAGGTCATAATTCTTTACAGAATAATGTAAAAAGTGTAAACTCATACCTGTTTAAAAAATTTCATTACAGCTTCTTTGTCATATCTTGCTTCTTTAGCAGCCTGCAATTTTATTCAAATTTGAAATGAAATTCAACCCATGTATAATGCAAAACTTTTGAACCGATGCGGCCAGCTCGACTTTGATTAAAATGTTTCAGATGCTATAGATCGGCGAGAGACATAGTTTTTTGAGATATAATATGATCTTTGTGTTTTGTGGATCTTAGGCTTCATTTGGGACGGCTTTCTTACTGCTTCTTAAAACAGCTTTCTAGTATTAAAATTTTATTTTTTGAACTAAAAAATTACTTTAAAAAAAAGTAAGAAAGCCGTCCCAAATGAAGCCTTACTTTTTGCCCTACTAAGAAAATAAACTACACAAACTTAGGATATATTTGAGGAAGCTTTTTTCACAACTTTGCTTTGCGAAAAGTACTCATAATTTTGTAGTTTTATCATTTTTTAAAATTTTTCTTGATAATCAGTTTTTTTATCGTCATATATATATATATATATATATTTCAGTGTGATAGTTGTAAACAAATTAATGTTGGAGCATTAAACAAGATTTTTTTTTAATAACATCTATAACAGCTTTTGAAAATTTTGTTTTTAAATAGTTCGATTATTTTTAGAGACAAATGTAGCCGCCCAAATAGATTTATTTGTGCCCTGAAGAACTAAAGCTATAATTCTCTACAATCAAATTATAGTGAAATCGTGTAGTGAAGGGGAGAAGATATAGCTATCATTTAGGTGAATAAAATGATTTGTGTTTTTATTGCTTTGATGTTTTTCCTACTATCTATATTTTACCCTCTCAGTAATTGAATTAATTTTAGCCATTTTCTAAAACTTTACTTAGGTGACATCCCCAAAAGAAAAGTAAACTTGCTATTATATTTTTATCAATATAATTTCATTCAGCAGTTACACTGCAAACCTAAGATTTGATTGTGTATACTTAAAGCAATTGATACTAAACCAAAAATGTATAGAGAGTTCTTAAATGAAAATAAATGTCATTTTAAAGAAAGAAAATTAAATAAATTCTTATTCAATACAATAATAATACAAAAGTGCTAGAGGAATTGCAAAAAAGATGGTGAACAAATGCCAAACCTATAATTTTTAAAGATTTACAACACATTAGTTATTAAAAAAGTGAAGAAGGATGCAAAGAGCGTATGGAACAATTATTACGTCCTCTGACCGGACGTAGAACTACGTTTGGCCGCCAATAACATGTCGCCACGTGCTCTTACTCTTTACCGCGCGGCCCGACGACTTGACCCGGACCGGAACCCAGGAATGCTATGTTCGCGTATTGCGAGGTATTACTCGGTATTTGCTCGGTATTGCTAGGTATTGCTTGGCAATAACGAAAAATACCGCTCTGTGAAGACCAATACCGAGTAATACCGAGCAATACCGAGTTGTACCGAGTTTTTCTAGAAAAACTCGTTACAACTCGGTATTTCTCGGTATTACTCAGTATTTGCTCGGTATTGGTTATTGCTCGGTATTGGTTATTGCCGAGCAAAATCGACCAATACCTAGCAATACTGAGCAATACCTAGCAAAATCGAGAAATATCGAGCCATCCTGGGTCCGTTCTGGGTTGGGTTGTCGGGGCGCGCGGTAAATAGTGAGAACGCGTTGCGCGATTCTACTAGTGGCTGAACGTAGAGCTACGTCCTGTGACCAGACCAAATAAAAGTTCTAGTGAGACTTCCACCAATGAGGGTCATAAAAAAAAAGGAAATGTATAAAATAATTCAAATACAGAAAATGAGATCCAGACACTTTTGAGTTAAAGGAAATTCGCATCAGTATCAGGTAATCAACTTGGTTTCATGTAAGGATGATCAATTATAGAAGCCATTTTTGTGTTAGAACAACTGAGAAGTTATAATAGTATCAAGATGTTTTTCATATGAAAGTTGTTGCCTTTAAGAAATCATATAATATAATCGATTGACATGAAGTTTTGTTTGATGGAGACTAGTAAAAAATTGTGAGATCAAAAACATTTTAAGTTATTAGAGATTAACATAGGAGAATATTAAAAATAATTGAAGAGTAAGCAAAAAGTTCTAGATGAAGATCAAGTTACACTAAAAATAAAAATCAAGGATACACCTTATGTTGGTTATGTAATGCCTTTACAACAAAGATCCAAAATTAGATACCTCAGTCTATATTATTTGTAACTGATAGTCTTAATAGGAGGCAATATTTTTCAAGCGGAAATTTTATAATAAAGTTTAGAAAATAGGGGCTTAAGGTTACAAGAAACAACTAAATGCATTATATGTAATTTTTCAACATGTCAATTTAACTGTGAATAGTCAATAATGATGAAGGATCGAGACACAGGTTTTTATTGGTTACAATATTAGAACTATTTCAAATAAAAAAGCAATAAAAGAGATGGGGATGCAACTTGAAGAGCCGAAGATGAGCGCTTAAAACAAATTAGCCTATCATATCTATAAAATAGAATATCGTGAGGAAACTTAGAAGACAAACTTTGTATAATGGCAATAAGTTTGACTGTGTTGTATGAATTTGAGTGCTGGGCGAAAAATCACCAACAACCAGAATGTGTAATCAAAACAAGAATGCTTTTATGATGCCAGTATGATAAAACAAGGAAGAGTTGATTGTGAAATACTCTGGTTAGATCTGGGAGGTATCCAAATGCATGAAAATCATGTTTTAGAAGATAGCCTTTCGATAGTTCGCATGTATTATGTAAAGCAGAATATGCACGACCAAGGTGATAAGACAATGTGAAATGAATAGGAAGGAGAGTATAGGTGTCAATTTCGGGTCACGGGTCGGATTCGGGTCGAACCCGAAACTAACCCGGCAATATTCGGGTGAACCCGAACCCGATCCATTCTTGCAAACGGGTTGGTTTTACGGACCCAAACCCGACCCACTTCGGATCCGGGTCAAGACGAAACGACCCGAATGACTCGGCAACAATAAAAAATTGCTAATTTTCGCGTCCAAAAATGGATCAATCTCCGCTTTTCGGGTAAAAAACGGGTCAATCTGGGGTTACCGTGTCAAAAGTGGGTTTTTGGGTCAATTTTGGGTCAAAGGGTCAATCTGAACCCGACCTGATTTTTGAAACGGGTCGAATTGTTGAACCTGCGGTTCGGGTTGACCCTAACTCGGAATTTTCGGGTCAGGTTCGAGTCGGATTTTCGGGTTGTGTCAAATATTGACACCCCTAAAGGAGAAGGGTCAAAACTAAGCTAAATGCTTATAAAGATCTGTGATGGGGCTCAATGAAATTAGAGAAAACACTAAATGCAACACCCAATATGAATAACTAACAAACAAGCATTCACAAGCACATGCATTGCCCAACATTTACTGTGTTTGTCTGTATGTTTTTCAATCCACAAATACCATGATTTTGTTCAAAACAAGTTCTCTGCAAATGCAAACGTGAATTAGAGAACAAAATTATAACTTACTGATAAATGCTCAAACAATGACAAACTCACCCTTCTTAGAAATAAGCGATAAGAAAAACAAATAAGCTTCACAGAGCGTTGGTTAGGGTATATGAACTTGTTATTGACAGCAGCAAAAGAAAACAATTTGTATGTTCATCAGAAGTCTTACCGCAAGAAGGCTTGAGCTGCCAGGAAAGCTATCTATCAGTGGAAGTTCCTCACTAGATGAAAGAAGGCCTTGCTTCTCAACCCACATTCGAGCAACATCAACTAGATTGCCACTGCTTGCATGGCGTTGATTTGAAGATATGTCAGTTTTGTTGGCAATAATAAGATAAGGAACAGGTAGGCCTCCAGGACCACCAGATCCAAGAGGAACTGAAAATGTCCCAGTTGATGCAATCTCTGCAGCCCAGTTCTGCAAGCTAGCCTTCGTCCTCCTTTGAGAGAGATCATGGACAAATATAACACCTAGTGCAAGAAGGACTTCTTTAGGTATTTCTCACGAAGAATCAAGCAAAGTAATTACAGATTAAACAATGCTTCCAAAGAAATAAGTAACCATCACTATCTTTGATCAGATTCCACTGAGAGACCCCTCAAAAAGTTATAAAAAAAAACTAAGTATATGTCCAAGTAGTCAGTTTTAATATCCTTTCTAAAGCTGAAGAAAATGTCAATTATGTAGGTCTCTCCAAGTTTTGTTGCAACTTTTAATATCCTTTCTAAAGCCTATATTCTGATACAGAAACTGTGGACTCTCAAAATGATGAAGCATAAATGGCCAGGTTCACATTCCATCCATCCTATCTTTAACATATGAAGTAATGATCTGGTTTTTGCCTCTGACACCAAAGTTGCTTACAACACAATATTTCTGAGTTGCAGAACCCATATATTGCTTATTTCTACTGGATGTACGCCAATAATGTTAACTATGATCATGCTCAAAATAACAGTTTTGCCATTCTCCGAATGGCACCAATAAGCTTGTATCCTTTACGTGCCATTATTCACACCATAAGATAAAGAAAATGGGAGCTTGTACTTTTCTTGGAAACTGATCTTCTATCAATAGATAACATCAACATCAACATCAACAACAACAACAATAACAACAACATAAAGCCGTTATCCCACTACGTGGGGTCGGCTACATGAATTCTTTTATGCCATTGTGTCCTATTAAAAGTCAAATTCTCATTTAAATCTAATAAAGAAAGATCATTACTAATATTTTCTAACCAAGTCTTTTTAGGTCTACCTCTATAGTATAACTAATTCAAATATGATGCTCACCATGCTAATAGCAACTGCCCTGATTGTGCGGGGAGAGTGATGTGCACATGTAATACATGCGATTGTCACAAATATCAGGAGAGCTTGAAGATAAATAAAAGTTCAGAGGAAAATAAGATGATGACATTCTTCAGTCCTCACCATTAATTTGGGTATAAAAAAGGTGTCGGAAGTCTTTGTACCGATCATGTCCAGAGATATCCCAAAGCTCAACAAAGAAGTCATTCTCCCCATCCCCTTTTAAGTTGTTAGATGACATGCTTGCACTTCCATAGCTAATATGCTGGAAACATGTGAAATTTTCACTCTGGATGTTGTGTATTTGAATCATTGTTACTTTGAATAAAAAGAAGGATTTTGTTTACCTTTACACCAACTGCACAGCCAACTGTTGGACGTGGATGAGCAATTGAACAACCTTTAAGAATTAGATGCACAAGAGAGGTTTTTCCCACGCCTGTAAATAAATGGAGATAAGACAAAACAATTTGAAAACTGTGGAAGTTTATACATGATAGGCTGTTTGACAAAATGGATAAAAGATATCTAAGCTAATTACAGAAAAAAAAACCCACCATGCTGAGTATGTTAAGAACATTAAAAAGCCGTGATAAGCACATGAAATGCAATTTGAAGAGCCAAATTACTCAATAGAGCTGTCAATACATTTTGCCAGGTTTCATTGAAGTAGAATAATTAAAATGGATGGCAGAGATATAACGAGACAATCACATGAACAGTACATAGAGAAAGTCAATATAGAAGTAAAAACAATTTCCTTGAAATGACAAACAATTTTATCCCTTCTTTTCTGATAGAAAAGATGTTGTGGCTATGAAAGTCACACCAGATTTGCTTTGGAAAGTACTACAATTGAATTTTCAAAGATAAATTAAGCAATAAATAAAGTTTCAAAGATTAAACCCTCATTGCAGCCTTTATATTCTTAGTTTGAGGCTTCTCATGAGTGCAAACCCTCATGCTTAATCACCCTTCCTAATAATAAAGTGAGAAATCTCAATTAAGATTAATTAAGAATCTTTACATTAATTTGTGTGTTGGTTTCCCATTTCCGTCTGATCTACTATGGTATTTTTTTGAAGCAATTATCATTCTCATGCTTAGAGGAGATTGTGGGGCAAGTACGGTAGGTTTTGTAAGGATTTCATGGTGTTCTATCATCTAGGGGATTTTGGTAGATTTGATCTAAATAGTTAGAATATCTAGATATTATTTTCGAGTCTTTCACTTGAAAAGGCTTATTAGCAACTATGACTTACTTTTGTTTTAAGTATAATGGTATAACCCAACTTATTGAGATTTATTTAAAATATTTTCTATTTTTTATAACTGAAATATTTTAATTTTAATTATTTAAACATGAAAAATGCTCTAGATATTATTTTCGAGTCTTTCACTTGAAAAGGCTTATTAGCAACTATGACTTACTTTTGTTTTAAGTATAATGGTATAACCCAACTTATTGAGATTTATTTAAAATATTTTCTATTTTTTATAACTGAAATATTTTAATTTTAATTATTTAAACATGAAAAATGCATTAAATCCCCTTAAAGAATTAGTGTCGGCTTAAGCATTTCATATCATGCCTTTGAATGAATTCATATGATTTTTCAAAATCATTAGTGCCAAATCAAAGTTTTAATATAAAAGTGTGGGCTCCAAAAATTCGGCCCCGGCCTCCCCGCCGTGCGATTTCTTTTCTTTTTCGGCAAGGAAGTTTTAACGGAATAAGTTCAGGGGTAAATTTTGGAAGGCAGATGGGTTTGTAGATAAGACACTACCCAGAGATTTTGCCCTCA